TGTTTACTTACAAACATATTTATATTTATATTACCAATTGAAAACTTTGCATCATCGAGTTTGATATTGAAACTAAAACCTTGTGGTTGCAAGGCTCAAGCTCTTATCACCACAAGCCTGATATTTATTTCAATTCAAAAATAGCCATTGAACAAATCATCAAGTGAAATAGAATTCACTTGTGAGTAAAATATTTCTAAAAATTAAAAAAAAGGTCAAAAACAAAATTCAAACATACATAAATTAAAGAATATCATAAAGAATTATAGGTTTTAAGGAATCAAACGAACGAATTGCTTCTCAATGTTTGATCATTAACTATGATCTCGAATTATAATACATACCTATTTGCATAAATGTTCAAAAATGTTCAAATATAATATATAATATTTTTGAAGATATTTATATGTTCAGATATGAGTTAAGCTGTACAGCTTAGCAAGAGAATACAAATGCTATGGAATATCAATTCGTTAAATGTATACAACAACCTGATCAACAGAACACTTTAGCATAAGATTAAATTTATAAATATTCATTGAATAACAAGACAATCACAACAAATTATAAGTTTGAAAAAATTAAACAAAGAAATTGCTCCTCAAGTTTTAGCATTTCATAAATTGGTTCATAGATCATTGACTATGGTCTCGAATTACATACCCATATTTCATATTTGTTCAAAAACGTTTTTGATTATGTTTAATAAATAATAGATAATATTTTTGAAGATATTTATATGTTCTGTTATAGGCTAGGCTGTTCAGCAAAGAGAATAGAAATATAATTGAATATGAGTTTGATAAACATATATATATCAAACAATCTGATCAACAGAATACTTTAGCATTGAATTTGTAAATATTCATCGATTAACAAAAGAATTTGCTTCATATAATATAACTGGAAGTATAAATATATAAGGGATTGATTTGTTTGATTGATTTGTGGTGGCACTCACACCATGAACCTGCCTTTGGGCAGACAACCATTTATTATTATTGTATAAATTATTTGCCCTATAATAATTAGGGAATGATCTAAAATATGCAAGTGCTAGAAAAAGTGTATACATTATGTTTTGAACAAAATACTAAATATATTATATACTTCACACAATTACATTAATTTGTTAACCTTCCAATTGTGATTATTTTTTATGTTTTGTATTCGGTCACATCAGTGAAGGTAATGTTTTTTTGAAGTCCATATCTTTCTTATTTTTTGAGTAGAATGATTCTGATAAATCCGGCTTCTTGTACAATACATTGACGTATTTTAAAATCTATTTTTAAGTATATTATATTCAAGATATAGCTCAAATTTTTATGTGCATCACTTCGGAAAATCCTCTTCATTTTCTAAGAAGTTGATAATAAAATTATGACTATAAAATGAATGAAAGTGCATATATTTATATTCTATATTTTTAAATTATAGTAGATGTTCCTGTCATATAGACGTCACTTTGAGTAAAGTCCACATAAAACTGATAATAGTAAATTCATAATATATAGCGTCAATAACTTAGGTAAACATTGAGATAAAGACTGCAATCATAGCAAATATTGTTTATAACATTTCCCATCATACAATTGTACAACATACCTGATAATAACTCGACTCCGCCATCTTGCACGATATGTATCCAAAAAATTATATTTCTGCATCCATAATTGCACAAATAACTAAGACATAATTACACTATATAAAAATACTGCACTAGTATTATATTTAACAACATTAAAAATATCAAAAACTAATAATATACAATGTTAACAAATCACAAACACATCTCGCATACAAAAACTATGAACAACGCGCACGACTGCTGGCAAGGCTTGATTCGATATATTCGGCCTGCAACAGGTATCGAAAGAAGAAATCGATATTATTTGAAGAAATATCGATAGTTTTGTACGATAAATGAAGTTTAGCGAAGGATAGAATTTTTTATACAAAGAATATATAATTTTAAATATATTTCTTTATTATATTTATTCATTTTATAATCATTTTATTCCTTTTCAAGCTTGCAAAAGAAAAGGTTATAACTTCGTGCATACTTCGTGTATTTTCGGAAAACAAATACGCCTAGTTTTTGACATTTAACATGTCACCTGTGAAGTTGTTTTAAAAATTAACTAGGCGTATAAAAATTAATAATTAAACAGCCAATATTAAATTAATTAATGTTGATATTGAAGATAATATTAATTAAGCCCAACAGGTTTTATATAATAACATTTTATATAAATCTACTAGCACTTGTGCAAAGTCACAGCAACAGGTGTCAAAAACTTTGACATTTCTTCTTTAAAAGAGACATTTTTATTCCAAATATCTGATTATTAGTAACATATACTTATTTTGTAAAAATATGACACCTTTATTAATACGAAACCATGTAAAACTAACAACTATTATATATATATATATATACGAGGTCTGTTCAAAAAGTACCCGGAATTTTCGTTTTTTCAAAAAAATATTTATTTATTCGTCTACATTAATGTGGTCCCCTTCAAAGTAGTCCCCCCCAGATATAATACACTTATGCCAGCGTTTTTTCCAATTTTCGAAGCACCCTTGATATTCACTTTTTGATATGTCCTTGAGCACTCTCAGCGATTTTCTTCAATCGAGGAAAACCGCCGTCCTTTCATGGGTCTCTTCAACTTTGGGAATAGGAAAAAGTCACACGGAGCCATATCTGGTGAATTTTTGCACTTTGCAACACTTTATTTCATTTTTTACGCAAAATTTAATACAAATTCTTTGACTTTTCAATTCTTCCATTGTAAAAATCGCCGAGCTCAGAAAAACACGTCGAACCTTAGCGACTACCACAGACAAAGTAAACAGTGAATATAGCTGAAAATTTCATCATACTTTAGGGGCATGTATACCAACACAATAAAAAAAAATTTTGACAATCAGACACTCCAGACCCGCGAAATTTAATTATTAGTAATTCCGGGTACTTTTTGAACACACCTCGTATATATGTATAATTTATCTGCTGTTCTATGTCTGCTAAATTTTACCCAAACAAATTTCTCTCTTTACCCAAATCTACTGATTTTGAATTTTTTCTGAGCAATAAAATAGTTTATATAATATTGCATTTTTACAAATACCAAATTATATTAAACTAGTATATATGTCCTTTGATCTATGACCTATCAAATTTAAAAAATGTGTTCTTTTTTACCCGAGGCTACTAACTTACTTGAATTCCTTCTAAAAAATAAAATAGTTTATATTAGTTTCATCAATAACATGGTTCATAGAATGTTTACATGAGCCATATAATTTTTCTTTTTAAATTTTAAAAATGTATTGATAACATTCACCTTGCTTCTGCAAAAATTTTAATTTTAAAATAAACAACACAGTCAAATTTTGTTTCTTTTTTATTGTTTTAACAAATTGAATGCATATTATAGTATAAATATTCATACATCGCTGTATTTAAAAAATATTCTTATGTTAGTTTCTTATTACAATATTTAAAAGAGATTCTTAGATGTAATAATGCTTATTAATATATTAAGTAATTCTAATATCACATAATTCGTCTTGAGAATTACATTCTTATTTCGATATATATTATATGAATTATATTAAGGCTAAGTATTAGCAACTTGAAAATGTTCAAAACCAAATTCATGATAAGAACTTAATCTTAAGATTGTTGTAACATTTTTTATGCAAACAGCATATAAAAACAAAAATCAATAAATGGCAAAGTCAACAGATACATCAACAATTATTATATAAAAATCTTCACATAATTGATATTTATCAGTCTTGCTTTAAATCAAATAGCACTGAAATAAATACATTATATTAATAATGTTGAATTTTAGTTTAAATAGACATGTAACTGATTTGTGGCAAAATTATGTATACAATATTTTACTTATAGTTCTCTTTTTATGGAGTAAATTATATTTTCAACAACAATATTTTTGATAGTTAAAAAAATCAAAATGGAAGATTGAAAGTGATGATAGTGGTTTCAATAATTACCACATCAGTAAATATTTAGCAGTCTTAAATTACCTTTTATAATAAATTCATATATATATATATATATATATATATATATATATATATATATATCTTCAAATCATTTTTCACGGAATGCATTTGGAAGACTACAGTACAATTTAATACGATGTAATTCAAAATTCAAAATAAAATATTATCTAATGTCTTAGAATTATTCACACATAAGTTTTCAATTATTTAATTACACAAGTCAATTAAATTGAGAATATCTTTTATATAATTATATTATAAATATTAGAGTATTAGTTATAAGTAAATTAGTTGAAGATTGAGCACATTACAAACTATTATAAAATGTAGGATTATTTAGAATTAATATAAAAAAACATGCTTTTAGGTAGATATCAAATTCTGTAGGCATATCTTAACACGCCATGCTAAACAAATAAAATCAGATTCTTTATCACGATACATAATCTGAACAATTATTTGAATTCTAAATAACCCACTTCCAATATTATAATTTAAATAGCTAGTTTTGCTTTTACCTAGTCAGTTAAGACAACAAATAGAACTAATTAGAATAAATATGCTTGTTGCTTCAATATGGATAAAAAATAATTCAGATGCAGATATATTATAAATATTTAATAAATAAGTAAAATGTTTATCAATTTCTCCTAAATTTCAATAAATATATTCATCAATAAAACAAATATATTTATCAATAAAGAATTATTAAGTAAGCAAGCCAAAATGCACATTATAAGATTGCTTAGATTATACAAAATTTCAATTAAGTTAATATAAATTTCAAATAATTATTTATATTTAAAATATAGGAACAAATTGACATTATTACATACATAGTGTTTATTCTAAATAGAAGATTGAATAAAATTCTTTAAAGCAAAATATAAGTACACAATTTCTAAAATTCAATAAAAAATGATTTTTTATCTATATAATTAAAGTTTCGCGCAATAGTATGTATAAAAATAAGTCTTTAATTAAAATATTATTTAACACTCACTCAAATCTATAAAAGGAAATGATCCTATACAATATGTACCTGTTCTAACAATCCTAAACCATTAGTCCTCGCATCATCACCTTGTTCCATTTGTTCTTTTAACATTTCTAACTCCCGAATTCCAGAAATTGTAACTTCATATTTATGTATCATAAGCGATCTATAAAAGTGAACTGCAAAGGCTAAAAACACTATCAAAACGGGGATTAAAACAATGCAAGCAGACCAAGCTGCGACTGGACTTAGATCATAAAACTTCACCCAGCACAATATAGCAATCTCTAACAAAAACAGTAGTAGTCCCAATAAAGTAGAAAAAGCCCAAGCCGTTTCTATGTACCAATGTAATCTTTCATGCGGTGATTCATTCACTAAATTAATACTGTGCAAATTACAAACGGCTTCAATATTTGGTAAAATACATGTGCTGATCATGAGAGCTAACATGTGTACGGCTACAAGTAAAGTTGTGCATATAGCAAATGCTATAAGCATTGCTTCTGGAACCTTGGATTCGGTATTGAGTTGTACTTCAACCATAGCTACCATAGCAAAACCGCTCAGTAAGGCTGAGGTTTTGCTGCTCGCTTTCAGCTTGGCTCTTGACAGCTGAAGTTTTCTCCAAGACAGGTAGTCAGGGGTATGAAGACAGTCGGGTGCTTCGGTTTGAGACATTCTGTAGATGGAAGGCCTTGTTGTTCTTTCCAATCCGTTATAATAAAATCCAAATGAGCGATCTGCCGTGGCTCCCTATATGTAGGGAAATGATTCAACCTAAGGACTATTGCTATAGAAACAGAATACTGCATCCAACACAGGAATGAATTATGTGTGTTTAAATTACACAACGACATATTATTAAATAATTATTAACACATATTACCATTTTATAACATGAATTATTTAAGTTTTTCATCCGTCACGATTAAATGGTATTTTAGCTTTGCACACACAATGATATTTTCCGTTACTACTTGCAAAAAGATCTTCGAAATGTCAATTTCCATGGTAAAATAAATACATATTTAAATAAAAGCTGCATATCTTGACACTGTCAAAGCAAGAGACTGACTGTTGGATAGTTGGAACCGAATGACAGCAGTTGCGCAAACAAAATTGACAGTGCTCTTGACTATGTAAATTTTTTATCTGCACGGATAATTTATCGAAATTGTATTTCAAAATTTAAAAAAATCAATCATCTTATAAATCAAACAATTACCTTCTGCAGAATTCACATTTTCACTCACACAAGCTTCAAAATTATGCAGAGAATGTTATTCATCATAAGCCAATACATACCATAATTTTTCCTGACGACATTTTTCATATCGTTTCATTTATTTAGTCACTCATGTTTCAAATAAATAAATAAAATACATACAAACATTTTTTATATTTTTTAGCTGAATTTATTTATTTTCAACAAAAATAAAAATTTGACATAAATGACAAGAAAAAATCAATGACAACCACCCCTTTTGACAGATTGCATCAAGTATTATACAAGTGCACCAACATAAAAATAAACGTAGGGGTCTTCCACACACGTCCACTTGCAAAGATACACCTTTCATGCACCTGTACCACCTGTTCATACAATTATAATATAATTTTATATGATATTTTAACTTGTAATACAATAATAATTTAAACTAGTTGGTATTGGTATTTTGCCTTGAGTCAAGTTACAGGAACATCGCAATATGTGTAAATAAACCACTCAATCAATAAAAAACAAATTAATTTATGAGTGATTAAAAGTATTTCGAGTGGATTTATTACACATAATTGCAAACGAACAAGTATTTTCTAAAAGCAAATTTTCACAAATCAATAATTTTTATAATTAAACCAGTTTCCCTAGGTAATGGTTTAGTATGTTCAATAAGACCAAATACTCTATCGTTATACCAAGTAAATAGTCGAATTTTAATTTCAACAAACGTCAAAAAACTACTCATTTTCTGAAAATTTGATGAATTTTTAGAAATAAACTACTTATCGTAAGGCCGTAATATTTCAGAAAGTTCTATAAGGCCATGATATATATCGCCAAAAAAGTTCCATAAAAATCGGCTTAAATTTTTTCTTCAACAGTCAATTACAAGAAAACGGCTCACCAGACTTTCACCTAAGACTAATCAGTATCATTCCAAACAGTTTTTGAATTTTCAAAATCGATTCAGGATTGCGGGCTAAAACTTGCACAAAAAAATTTTCCTTTTCTGCTAGTTATAAAGAAACGGCTTTGCTGATGGTCGCACAAAACTGACAAACAATAATCCTCTTCTCCTTTGATTTAATAAAAAACTAAATATATCAATAACTTTATTTTACATATACTACATATATTTGTTAAATTTAAACAGACTTTTTTTTACAAAAGGGCAGTTTCAATACATGAGTTTTTTAAATACTATATTATATTACTAACGACTTTTTTCAAATTTGAAAATTAGGCACAAATTAAAGTAATATACATATATGTCTATATACGTACATATATAGATTTAAATAAATTAGACTCTGCATTAATACAGTTCTGTTTACCTAAGCATAATTATCACAATATTTTATATGATTATAATATTGTAGTATTTATTTTAATATGGCAACATGATGCGTTTTAGTATATTTTTAAATTCTCTATTTAATGTTTTGCAAACAATTTATATGTAATATTATTTTAACGATATAGTTTTATAATGATGTATATAGATTATTATACAAATATATACAAAAAGTTTATCTTACTATTTATGTACACATTATATTTTATACATTTTATAAACTAATTTCATACAATTGAGAATTTTGAATAATGTTGGAACATATTTGAAAATCGACTATACATCTAATAAATACTTAGTTCAAACAGCTTTCAGTAATAACATTTTGGCAAATAATAATATAAGACACCTACATAATTATATAGAATGACCTGTATTCTCTTATTATTTTTATCTATTATCTCTTACTATTTTGTTGTATTATTTATATATTATTGAAATAAACAGTTTGACTAATTAAAATGTTTATTACAAGTCGGTAGTGACTAGACTTATTCAAAAAGAATTTTTAGAGATATGCAGACTTGCAGTCTCAATTTCTGCAAATTATTGGCAATGTTCATATAGATATTTTGGCTCGTTTATATTTTTGGCATGTATTTGAGGATATGTCAACAAGTTGAAATGTGATCATGAAATTCTTAAAATTTGTCTCGGATTTAATATAATGTAACTATTTATTATTGTTTGATATACTACTATGGTGATTTAATGAGGGAATTTTGAATAAATGAATGAAATATATTATAAAACCTGCTTATTAATTTGTAACACAAATAAGCTATATTAACAAATATACTAATGAAAAATATTAATTTGAGAAAAACGTATACAATTTTTAAATAAATATTAATAGTTAATAAACCTGATTATTTATATTTTAATTTATCCCTGCGATATACATAATCTAATAAATAGCGCGCTATGATTTTTTTTTAAAATAACATTCTTGTTTGTCGACAACGGGTTACACGTACATTTTTGGCAATTACATTACACATTATGTAATTATTATATAGTACAGTACCGTTTATAAAAATATAAAACATAAAACAACATAAAAAATGATAAAAAAATAATTAAAAGAGTAGTAACAAATAGATAAAAGAAAAAAAAGAGTTGGTTTATAATTAGACAGGTTTCAATGAATATGCTACTCCTTTTAGTCTAATAAATTGAAAGCCGAAAAAATATACTCAAAACTTGCAAAATTATTCAATAAACTAGGAAAATTTTTGGCAAATTTTCATACCTCGACCTTACATTAGAATCAAAGTAAATCTTATTTGCACTTTGCCAACGTAAGATCGTTTGAGAATACTGATTTATGATTTTGCAATTGTGATAACACCTAAAATACATATGTATAATAAGTCCAAATCGTTCACAACAATCACATTAAACTGTTTTCTTAGTGACATCAACAAATGGGAGTGTTTTAAGAATTTAAAAATAAAATATTTCATTGGAAATTGTTGGCACAATAATAATCGCTGGTGATATTTTGCTCAATATCTGCAACTAATTATTTCGATCACAGGTTCCCAAAATAATAATTGATAGATGAATAGTTTTTATTACATAGGAATTGTGACTAATGAGTCATTTTTATTGCAAAATCCAAATGTCCAATGTTATAATATAAATTGTGACTGCGTAATATTTTGTAATCTCTTTATTATTTAGTTCAGGAAAAAAAAGAGAGTTTAATATCTAAGATATATTAATAATCATTATGCCAATTGAAGTGATTCCGTTGTAATATTTTTAAAAAAAATTATCGAAAATATATAACGATGGTTTGACGCAATCAAAATATTTTTGAAATAAATATTTACAGTAACAAATAACACCAATATGTTTACAATTAGGAATCTGAACCAGCTTTTGCGTTTGTACCACTTTTGCTCTCCCACATAAAAGAATATATACATATATAAATAAATAATTAATATATATATATATAAATATATATATATATATATATATATATATATATCTGTGTTTATTTGTGTATTTTATCAAAAATCAATACAGTTATTAAAAAGAAAAAGCTAATACTGTTTAAAATAATTTAATAAGGTTCTCTACGTTTCAGATTCCAGCTTGACTTTTCTTCAGTGGATAGAACTATATAACATAAAATAAAATATGATATAAAAATATATAAAAATATAGAATAATCAACAAGATATATGGAACGAAACAAAACAAATTATGTTAAAATTAAAAGCACTGAAAATAATAAACATAAAAAATAAATTGTTTGTTTCAAGCAACTTGACATGGCTGATCGTTACATTTAATTCTTCTTTAATTTTTCAAATTAAATATATTTTTTTTCACAAACATGACTTTTTATTAAGTATTTAGTACATTGTGTATGTTTTTATAATCATTTGTGTGTTTTAGCCACTGAAATAGAGTCAAACTGGGACTGGCGATAATTGGATGCCTCAGAGGTCATCCATTAATCACGTGATCGATTTTTAAGCATTTTTGGATCCCTCCAAAGTCTTACCCTCCCCCACTCAAAATCTCGTGTATTTTTAGTACCTTTGAAAAATCTTTAAAAAAATTCGATTCAATTTTTGAAAAATTCTGGATTTTTTAAAAACTCAAGTAAAAATTAAAAACACGTGATTTTACTAGAACGCCCTCGACCAGGTGGTGGAGATATGAAACAGAACAAAAAATGTTAAAATGAACATAAAATATAATTGTTTGTTTCACGCAACCCAACATGTCTGATCATTTAATTCAAGCTAATTTTTTTCAAATTAAATTATTAATTCTTGTTCACAAACATGCGTGTGTGTGTTTTTTTTTTAATTATTTGCGTATTCTAGCCACTGAAATAGATAGGGGGCATCCATGAATCACGTGGCCAATTTTCAAGGATTCTTGGACCCCACCAAATATCACCCCCTCCCCCACCCAAAATCTCGTGTATTTTCAGTACCTAGAGAAATCTTAAGATTTTTGGATTTTTTGGAAAAATTCTGGATTTTTTTAAAATTCAGGTAAAAAATAAAAACACGTGATAAGATATCACTAGAAGCCCCTCCACCAGGTGATATTTTAAATTATTGATAAATTTATTGGCGCTTGTTAAATTTTTCTATTATAATTTTTTAATCATCTTTAACATTATAACATTATTTTTCTCCATCATAATGTATAGTAATTTCCACGTGCATGTACGAGAAAATTTCCAAGCACAACAAACTACGACTAACTTTTTATTTAACAAAAACATACTTAGAATGTTTTGTATTTAATAGTTCATACTGTAAATATGTTTACCAATAATAAAAAATCGATAATTTTAGAACACACCTCGCACATAAATATAAATATAAAAAAAATCAGACCATTGTTCTGAAACTATTGAACACAAACTATATATAATAAAACCCTCCTATAACAGCGTTAATTATATGTGTGTGATTAAATATTATAATAATAAATTATTGTTGATATAAATCCAAACTAAACAATCTTTTCATTTATGTCGGAAGCCCCCAGAGGTTATTTGAACTTAGATAACAATTTTGTTGAAATAGAGTCTTTATAATATATGCATTAGATTAAATGTGGCTTTCATGTATCACGACACATAATTAAACACTCTTTGTCTGTTTGTTGTTTTTATCTTTTTATGATAATAAATGAAATTTGTATTTTACATAAAAATAACATTTACATAACGAGTAATTAAGAATCGTGATATTGACATTAAAATCATAACATGGAATTATCAGAAAAATATGGGAAAAAATTGTTATGCATTGCGAAATAAAATAATGAAATGAACTTACTTGAATTGCAAAATTAATTTAGAAAGTCATGTATAAAATTATTTACTTAAAAAATAATTACTGACTCATATTTTTCGACATATGCAACTTTTACGTCCGAATATACACCAAAATATAGTAAATTATAACTATTGTAATATAATTAAACATAATCATTTATGTTATGTAAATAACACAATTAAATAATTAGAAAATAATACTTGTTATAGTTTAATTTGTGATTTTATGATAAAATGTAATATATGAATAGCTACGGAAAACGGAGCCAATATTGTAATATGAGGCCAACTAATAATAGAAAATATATAAAATCAATAAATTGTCACATCAATTTGTTTTTAAATCAATAAATAATTTAAAAAACAAAATAATTAAATAAGTAAAATATTTTTCACACTATTTACAAATTTATTCCGTCATAGAATGAGGAAGTAGTTTCCAAGTTAAAAGTATATATGCAAATACATATATTTAAATTTTTAAATATTTGAATAATCTGATATAATTATATCATTACCATAATTTATCATTATGACATATGTATTCTATTATTCAAATAACTAGTAGAAATAAAATTTGGCACTTAAAACAGACCTCAACAAATGTCATTTGTAACGGGAATAATATAAGATATTTGGAAATACAATTATCTATTAAAAAATAGTTTTTATTTATATATTAAATATTTTTTATGTAAGTTAATTTATTCTTTTATAATAAAAAAAATCAAATAAGTTATTTCAAATGTTGATAATTTCATTAATTCAATAATTTGTCAATACAAAATTTAGTTTTTGTTTACAATTATTAAATATTTAATATAAAAGTTATTACGTGTACGTGCAGTCTATAATAATGAAAAATCTTAACAAATTTTATTTGGAATGATGAGAAGATTATTCTTTTTCATAATTAATTATTAATTCAATATAAAATTTAGTTCTAGAAATATTTTATATAAAATTTATTATGTGCGTACTAAATGAATTTAATTTTCGTTTAATATTGAAAAATTTACGATTATTAAAAGTAGGAATTTTAATTTGTCAAGTCTTATTATTGAATCCATATATTAAACAAAGTGATACATTAAATCACACATTAAAATTGTTTTCTTATAAAAAATGAAAGAGTCAGCACAAAATTCTTAATATAAGTAGATTTATAAAAGTTGTTAAACGATATATTGATCCATAAAATGATTTTGATAATCATTTCCTGATCAGTATAGCTTTAAATAGGTACTATACAAAATAATCAGTTTATATAAAATTGTAACCAACTTTTTATAGCACAGAAGATTTAATTTTTATTTCAAATTTGATGCCCAAACATAACCAGTCACAAAACTTTCACAGATAGAATCCACTCTCAATTTTAAATCTATAAAAAATAACTTATCTACTTTCTTATATCATTACCTAAAGCCATTCTTGGAAGCTCCAAAAGCTCACAGCTTAAGGAGCTTTTAAAATATTTCCTATACGGCTATCGAATAATCACTCGGGTGCCCGCTCAATCCACCTCCTCCGCCGCCTCCAGAGCCGGAGTTAGGGGCTCCTGAATTAGGCCGGGCCCACAGGGAACTTCTCAGGCCCAATTTGAGATTTTTCATCGTGTCCATATCGCATTCGGCTTCTGACAGTTCCAGCCTGTCGCCAATACCTCTGCCTTGAAAGTTAACAAAAGCAGTTTTTTTCAAGGCATAAGGATTGTCTAAAAGAACAATATTCTATCTTAAAGGACATAGAAATTTGGAAAATTATAGTAAATTATTGTCAAAAATATTTGTGGCCAATTTTGTAAAGAATATTAGTTATTGCACTTGATTCTCATGGAAATGAGAAGTTCTACTCTCATCTAATAAAATGTATATCTATCTATGATTAATGATAATTATTATGGTCTTAAAAATATTCAAGAATACCTTTGGATCAAAATTGGATAAATTTGGTAAAACTAATATTAAAAAATCTAATTATAAATGTTTTATAACAAATCATCACATTTTATAAATAAATAGTTTTGCTCAATTGTATAATTGTATATAAAATCAATAACAATCCAAGATTTCAATAAAAATATCTATTTAATCATCTTGTTCTGGTTATCGATTTATTTACATTTTTTTCATAAATTCAAATATCTTGTAATTTTTTACGAAATTAACATATAGTCAATCCATAATTATGTTTTTATCACTAGGTATTCCAGAATATTTAAAATTCATGATATTTAATTTAAATGATATATGTGATTCCATTTAGTACATTTTAAACTGAGTCATACATTCGGAAAGGAAGATAAATTTAAAATAAAAATAAATAATAAATAAATGAATTTTATTTAAAACGTATATTTAAAAAATATTTTAACGTATTATAATTAACAGTATGTGAAAAAATACATAAAATTGGCGAATACATTCAATGCATATGTTGAACTAGAAGCATTGTTTCTTAAACTAAGAGCAGAAATTATTATTAATTTATATATATTAATATAGGTGAAATATTAAAATTAATTGCTTATTTCATGAACAAAGATATTTCATTTATTTTCTCAGAAATAAATCTCTAAATATATTTTATTACACGGAGCAAATATTTTATCAAAATTCAATTTTAAAATGCTTAAATTAAACAAAAAAGAATCTTTCCATACCTCAAAGTTTGAGAAACAATGCACTACAGCGTAGTCTAATGATAAATATTCTTATTATGGCTAATGTTAAATATTTTCCATGCACCTTGGTGTCCTTCCGGCCCTGGTGTGTGCATAGAAGCCCTGAGTGCGGCTTGGGGTCCTGCAAAACCGGTCTCGGCAATGGACAGAGATCTAGCCGCACTCCTGCCAGGGGGCACCCATCTTAATTAAATATATAAATTGGAGAGACATAATATATAGGAGAAAGGATAATATATGATTAAAATATTTTTTTAAAAATCGTTGACAAAAAATAAATAAGTTGATGCTAATATTCGTTGATAATTAACTGTTTACTTTGTTTTGAAGCATTATAAAAATTCCAAGAATATTCATTTAAAATGTCAGACATATATGCCTGACATAAGCTATTTGGTAGAAGGTGAAAATAAGTTCTAATATAGAGTCATAAAAATAATAGTTCTAATAATTAGAATAATAATAATGTCAGTAGCGTTCTAATATAGAGTCATAAAAAATAGTGGTTTTCCATGAATTTTGGCACCCAATTTCTTCATCTTTTGATACATTAAATTTTCTTGATACATTTTCAGCTAATTTATCTAATAGAGTTACCATGGTTCATGTAAAAAAAAATTAATGTAAAAAATTCCAAAATGATTCTTCGTAAATAATACTTTAAAATATATTTTTTTCTAAAATTTTATTCAGAAAATTCTCATATGCATCAATTAGAACAGTTCAAAGAACAAAGCATTTTAAAGATATAACAGGAATGATGTAGATTAAAATTATTATTGGCAACAGCCGGTATAGCTGTTTCTTCGTAATTAATAATTCAAAAGAAAAAAAGCTACAAGTTATAACTTCTAATTTATTCTGGTCAAATAGGTTCTGATACTGAAAACTATCCTGAAGGATACATGCGACTTATGTGTATATATTACATCTAGTTTTTTCAGAGTATTTATTTGGAATATATATATATAAATATATATATATATATATATATATATATATATAATATAAATATTTTAAGACAATTCATTACCTGGTACGCCCCCTTCTTGGTAATGATTTTTGTTCTGACATCGGTGATAAATCCGAAGACGTACTAGAGTGCGTTGTTCCATGGTATATTAGACCTAAAATAAAAATCATAAGCATAATGTTTAAACTATTTTCACAGACAATATTTTAATATTGACAAATCAAAATAAACCAGGCATAAGTTACTCAGCCAATGGCTTAGTATTGCTCAATTTTTGTACTTGAATCAAATTCACTTCAGCAGAAATTTTAGTTAAGTTTAGTTTTATATTGCTGTCTCCAAATAAAAATATTTCTTTCCCGGCATTGCTGCACCAATAAAAAGTCAGCCCTATTAGATAAATTCTAATAATACAACCATCAAATATGGATGGATTAACCATTGGGTTGTCATCTTAAAATACGAAGTAAGGAAAAGTTACAGCCCAACAGCTCATAAGACGTAAGACTCAATTTGATACAATACAATACAGCAGATTGCTGTGAAGAAATGAAGAAAAAAGTATTATATTGCATACCGTGTTTATGTTTCCCTTCTAAATGATTTGAAGATTCTGTCCTACTGGAAGTGAGTTGTTCCTGGTCCGATTCAGAATCACTTTCGATATCAGTTTTTCGGGCATGGCGCCGTCTGCCTTTTCCAACCTAGATGAAAATCATATATTTGATCAACAAAATAATATAATAGCTAATATATATTATTTTTTATCTGTGAGAGCCTGGTTGAGAACGTGGACTAGCACGAACTAGTCGAAGATTCGATCCCGATCTCTGTAAACAGGCAACATGATATCCATTTTCTACATGGGATCATAGATTTTATATACCCCAATTGGAAATTGCCTTTCGTAGTTTGAAACTAAAAGTTGACAAAGTATATCTAAATATTCGCTGATTACTGTTGAAACAAAATAGAAATATTTTCTGGTTGAACTTCTCAAAGCAGGTAGGTTTAAAAACCAAAGGTTCTCAAAGGTTTAGTACTATAATTTCTTAAATATTATATTCCATGGCATTAAAAATAAATTATATTTAAGAGTTCGATCTTAACAATGACTAATACTTGATTATTTATATTTTTTTAGTTATGACATTGACATTGAATGATCACACTTTTCATCAACAACCCAAGATCAAATTTACATTTCGGCATGTACTTATTTGAAACAATGATTGCCATAAAACTGATGACAAGAAAAAACAATTTTTTTAAATGGTTTTGAAGATTAGAATTAATACTTTGGGTTATGACGTGAGCGTAACTAAATTCATCAATAAAATTGAACTTTGATCATTGCATGAATATAATGATGTAAGTGAATCTGAATTCACATTGTCGAATCTCAGGTGGATGGATATTATGTAAAAGACAATCAAATGATTGAAAGACACTAAATATATTCTTAGAATAATTTCTATATTAGTTAAAATGGGCAGCACGTGGCAGAAGTCTTGCAACCACAAGGTTGTAGGTTCAAAACCCGCGTTTCTTGATATCAAGCGGTAGTTATTTTCATATCTATGTCAAAATATATATCCAAAAGCGGTAGTTATTTTCATATCTACGTCGAAATATAGATCCAAAATGTATTTGCAACTGATGATTTTTTTTTCCGGACATTGCAAATAATAATTAAGTAAAAATTCTAATCAGATATCACAACTGGGAAAGACTACTGGGTTGTCTTCTGAAAGACATCTGTTAAAATAAATACAACATAACAATCAGTGAAAAATGTCTTCATATAATAGTAGAAAGATTGCAGTTCACATGCAATTAAAAAAATATTTAAAATTTCATTTAAAAACCCAAAGGTAGAATAATTATTTTTATGAGTGTAAAAACCTTATTTTTATCTTTACGCGTGCAAAAACAAGTAAATCATTTACTCGACAACTATAATTAAAAGAGTGCACTCAAACGACAAAACTACATAAAATAACTAGTCGACATTTATTAAAAATTTAAATTATTCTTGGTAAAAATAGCAACTTTTCATAGCTGTGGTTTTTACGCGTCAAGGCTTGACCACGAATAATTGCTGCTTATCTAGAATTAGCATAAACAATAGAGCAAATCAAGGACTAATGATGTATGTTAAAGAAAATTTCATTGTAAAACTAAAACACGTCGAAAACTATATATAAATCCTCAGACGACATGCTTAAATTTCTTAAATCTTTTAGCCAAACATCAATTTTACAAAATGAAGTAAACCAGGTCGTGCCAATGGATATTTTTAAATTCGAGAAATCAATCTTGTCAAGTAGTAAATTTATAGCAGTCACAAAATTGACTTAGGATATAGATTACTATAAAAATAATTGAATTATGGTCTATATTTGGAAATCTAACATATAATACAAACATAGAGATATTTTTTGGCGAAAGAAGTAATAAAACCTGTCATGATTAATACTCATCAGTTTATGTATTTATGAAAAAAATTTAACATAAGTATATAATTTACCTACCAAAATAAAAAATAGAGCCAATATAGAAATATTGTAAACCGAGGCCAAAATACTAAATAAATATTTGCAGATCCAATCAATTAGCTCATAATCTTTTACCTCTTAACTTTCCATATACAATTTATATATGAAAACTATATAGTAATTTTCAATATATAAATTTATTTTTACTCCTACTCTTATTAATTGTACCAAGATAAATGTATTTTCTTTCCAACTTTTTTTCTAACTACATGCAATTTTTATTTGAAGTAGAAGTAATACTGGTAGCTAGTGATCTTTCGCACTGAAGGCATTTGTAAATTATATGGTAAAATAATAAAAATAAAATTTGCATACAAATTACCATATCATAATTAACTACCAAGATCAATCTGCAAATCAAGTTATGTAACAATTATGGATAACCCCGAAAGATTTATGTCGTTTGATATAAATAAATGCTGTAAAATTTTGAATTTACTAATGGCAAATTGCTATAGAAGGTTGAGAAAAAATCTTAACTTATTTTAAATCTGTATTTATTCTTGATGAGACCTAAATTTAAATCATAAATTTATTAATTAAAATAATATACCTTTGGGTAGTATAATAATCGTCTTAATTTATCTATCAAATTGATCATAATTGGTTTGGTTTGTTCTAACATAATTTTGAAAATTGTTCATTATCAATTTTCGAAAGTATCTCAAACTGGTTGCAAATATATTTTAAATGAAAATAAACTTGTTGGCATATGTAATTGTTTTTTTTGTTTTTTGAAAAAGTTAAATATTTAATTTTTGTTTTTGACTGAGTATTACCTACACATTATTCATATAACACGAAAAATTGAATAGATTCTATCTTAAAATATTTAAATAAATTTCAAACCTCTATGTTTATTTTATATAGTAAGCTTGATTAATATTTATTATACACATTATATAAGGCGAGCACATTGGTAGAATGTTAATAATTCTTCATACGATCTGCGAAGTTCTGGGACAATACACATACACGTGTTTTATAATAGTACAAACCCTAGTCGAAAACTTACTTTTTTACATATTTTTTTTTATAATTAGTCAATGAGAATATTACATAAAATTATAAGATTGGGGGTTAATTCCCTGTATCTTTGGGAAAGTCATAAATTTTTAAAATTGAATGATTGTCGCAGGGCCGTAATATTTTAGTATGTTTATAAAATTTAGGACGATAATATCTGTCAACAAAAAAGTTTCATCGAAAAACACTTTTTCAACAGTTAATTACCAAGAGAAGACTTCGACGATCTTCGTCCAAAACTGATCAGCATAATTACTAAATAACATTTTTCAAAATCAATTCAAAATTTTTATCTAAAACGTGAACAAATAATTAGCAATAATTAAACCAAATCGAGAAATATATAAAAGCTAAAATATTAAATAATGGATATTAAGTAATATAACAAAACAAAAATAACCGTGTATCAAATGAGTTTTTCATAATAATTTAATTTTTTTTTATTAACTCTTTTATTTACAACTGTTCAGTAAATAATATTTTACAATGATAATAATTTATCAATGTTCCATGATATTATTTTTTAATATAATACAGAAATACGGATTTGCAATGCTAGGATTTTTATTTTTGTTTAAAACTACAATTATTTTTACCTATATCTACTAGATTTTGCTTAAAAAGATTCAAGTTCCATTACAAATTGTATATCAAAATCATTATCGATTTATCAAAATTTCATCATTCTTTACAGGAATTTACACTAGACCTTTTACTATTTGTATAATCTATCTGCCTCATTGTAAACTGGTCCAACAGAGAATAACATAAAGTCATCTGTTTAAATAACAGTGTAACAATTCTATATGATCAATATACTTCCGTGTAATTGATGTAATGACTTACACACACAAAATAAAGCATATGTACATATATGTAAACGTTTGTGTAAATTCTCTCAATGGTTTTGGATGGGTAAATAAATTGGCCTAATTATTTTGGTTACAGACCGCGAAATAAAATATTTAATAAAATATGCGTTATATATAATGTCATTATTATTTTTACAATGATGAGCATTGAATTCAAAACTCAAGAATTTATTTTAGCTACGTCTATATGTATTTTTTAATAATCATGCTCGACAGTTTGAGTTCGTAAGATTTATGTATACATTATGCAAATATAAAAATATCATATTATTATGTACGAGTGTTATTTTAAATATTAAACAAACAAATAAAGATTTTGAAATTTTGTATTTGAACAATCAGTCAATTATTACTGCGTCTTAAAATAAGCTGGGCACTAATAACTAAATACCAAAGTATTTGTGTTATTCATGAAGCAATCATATTCTATTGGAATATTAATTGCCTGCTCACATTGATGTCTAGGCCTTTGTTTCAAAACGTGATGTAAAATTTATAGTTATGCTGTCAAATATCCAATAATATTTGGTAATTTTTGTTATTTATTAACTTTCCTAAGGAGATTTTATTGTATGTTTTTGTCAAAATACTAATTTTATATTTTCTAGATGATTCAAGCCATTCTGAATTGAATGAGACCAAATTTGGAAAAAGTATATGTGAGTAGTCGAACTTTTCTCAAAAATTGTTGAACCGATTTCAAAAAATTAAAAAGCATCTGAATGTTGTCGATAAAGAATTGCGGTGATTAGTTTTGCACAATGACCAACCAAGTCGTTTCTTCGTAATTAGCAAAAGTAAAATTTTTGTCGTGCACGTGCCAGGTAAAGATAAAGGGACAGATATAGGTGAAGGGCCAGGTAAAGATAAAGGGCCAGATATAGGTGAAGGGCCACGTAAAGGAAAAGGATCAGGTGAATGTGGAAGACCAGATAAATGTAAAAGATCAGGTAAAGATAGAAGACCAGGTAAAGGTAGAAGACCAGGTGAATGTAGACGACCTAGTTAAGGTAGAGGACCAGGTAAATGTAAAAAACCAGGTAAAGATAAAGGAACAGGTAACGGTAAAGAACAAGGTAAAGGTTAGTGACTAAGTAAAGGTAGAGGACCAGGTAAAGGCTAGGGACTAAGTTAAGGTAAAGGACCAGGTAAAGGCTAGGGACTAAGTAAAGGTAAAGGACCAGGTAAAGGCTAGGGACTAAGTAAAGATAAAGGACCAGGTGAATGTAGAGGACCAGGTGAATGTAGAGGACCAGGTAAAGGACCAGGTAAATGTAGAGGACCACGTAAAGGTAGAGGACCATTTAAAGGCAAATGACCCTTTACAGGTAAAGGTAAAGGACCAGATAAAGGTGAAGAACCAAGTAAAAGTAGAAGACCAGGTAAAGGATCAGGTAAAGGCCAAATATTCAAATCTTGTTTTTGGAAGCACAAGGCTTTATTTGATTTAAAAAATATGAAAAATTTGGAAAATACATAGGAGAACTGTTTCCCATCTGATTTACACGCCTAACTTTATATAAACATAAAATATACTTAATTCTTAAATGTGGGCGTAATAGAATCATTTGCTGAGCGACCAAAATTTGTTACTTCAGTATTATTGTACTTGAGAAATATTATTTTTTAATATATGATATTATAAAAAATAATAAATTTTTTGATGTTTTACCTTTCTGTAAGGTGAGGCGGCTCCGTAACTAGAAGGCGTCCGAGGTTCTCTCTGAGGTGGCGGAGTACTAGCACAGCCTTCTGTACCAGCTCTTTCGTGGTACATAAATGAATGTAACAGTGTATTACCTGTAAATAAAATAGTATTTGAATTTTTAAAATTCCTTCTGCATTGACTTAGAATTAGCCAGTTTTTTGCTAAACATGTTTTAAATGCACCAGTTACATATTATTCACAAAATCCATTCAGTTTAATTTTTTGTAGTCTCATCTGTGGTTTATAATCTGAACAATTGTAGGAAGTATTAACACAAAAGCAGGAAATGATATTTTATTTAACTTGACAACTATTGCAGTTACTAATTATTACCCCCAGGAGCAGCCGACGCCAATTGGCCACCTGCAGCAAGAGTGCTAGCTTCAGACAACTGGAACGTTGCATAGGGCGAAATGTCATCCGAGGTTTCTAAAAATTTTATAATATAAAATATGTTCAAGCATTTGGTTTAAAAACAAGTCTAAGAAATTTATGATTCAAATCATCACCTGGTATTTTATCCTGTCCAGCTTGCAAGGCAACTTTGTGAATTGTCGCATAATATCGCTCGCGTTGCGCTTCGGCATTTTGCTGGTTTTCTAAAGATTCTTTACGAGCTCTATCTACCTGCCCTGTAACAGTATCATTATTTAAAATAAGTTAATTAATATTCATTCTTTTATTTTTCAATTAATCTTGTGTTTTGAATTATTTCTTACGAGTTTTCCAGCATATGAAAGCCATTGCTGCAGCTAAAAAAACAGCAACTACAGAAACAGCTGTCGGTATGATGACTCTGAAATCGGCATAACCCATTGAAGCAGAAGAGCCACCTAATTTAACTAGTTCAGGGGGTGGTGGTTCTGAAATAATATGACAAACAGTAAATAACTAAAAATTTATAATGGAATAAGTGTGACTCAAGATAGTTTACCTCCATCCTTGGTCAAGGTTACGAAACTGAAATCAGCTTGTGATTGACCAGCAATATTATGAGCTTCCATTCTTAATCTATACAGAGATGCAGGCTGCAATCCTGATATAGTAAATCTCCTTTGTGGTTTCAGTGCGTTTGAAACTAAAATGTACGAAATCACGCAAGTTATTATGCAACTGTAACTCTTAGCAATTTGATCGTTACCTAAAGTCCATTCGGCATCATTTGCAGCTCGATATTGAAGCACAAAATATAATAATGGACAACCATTATCAGGCCAAACATGTAATCTTAGAACTACTGAGGTAGAATTTGGCGCAAGCAAAGCTCCAGAAGCAGGAGTTCCTGGAGCCTGTCCCTGAGTTCTCACCAGTAATGTAGGAGAAGCAGACGAACTGCCTATTTTATTTCTTGCTGTTAGGTAGAGATGATATGTACTGCCACATTGAAGTCCCTGATAAAAAATATAGAATATAATAATTATATTAATTCACAAATCTATTATTTATATTTTTACCTTCAATTCGTGACTGGAAGCATGTCTGGACATAACCATTTCTTCCAAACTTCCATGTGCACGTCTGTAGTGCAATGTGTATCCACTTAGGGGTGCTGCACCAGTATCTCCAGATTTCCAGTGAAGAAGAATTGAACTAGATGTGGCAGATGTTACGTATAAGACTGGTGGTCCTGGAGGTATTTGCACGATGAGATGATAAGTTAGACGATCTGTGCCAACCCCATTGTCGACCTTGAAATTTAAAAAAGTTTTTAACAAAATTACCAAAAAATAAAATATTTAAACTGGAATTCAAATATTTACTTGACAGGTATAATTTGCACTATCACTCCTCTGCAAGGCATTTAGTTGCAGTTCTCCAGTATCCAAAAGTTGTGCATTATGTTGAGATCCTGCTCTGAGTGGAACTTCACCCCGAAGCCATTCTCGTCTTGGATCACCAACGGCCTTACATTGTAAGGTTACAGAACCGCGCCAGGGGCGAACTATGGGCCCACCAAAGGATGTTATACGAGCTGGCACTGGGGAAAAACATGGACTTTAAATAACTTAAACTAATTTTGAAAATTATTAACTACCCGAAGAGTAGTATTAACTACCAAAAATCCGATTCGATAATTTTATGTTTTCTCGACGTCAGAAGCCATTCTGAATCGAATGAGACCAAATTTGGAAAAAGTATGTGTGTGTGTGTGTGAACAGACTTTTTGCCGTAAATCGACGTTTTCTCAAAAACGACTGGATCGATTTCAGAAGTTTAAAAGCCATTCGTATTTCGATGAAGACTATTGTTTGTCAGTTTTGTGCTTTTAAACTCGTTTTTGTGACTATTGTTTGTGATTTAAAAAAATCAGAAACAGTTCGAAAGATATTAATTGAAAATGATACCGATTAGTTTTAGGTGAAAATCTACCGAGACGTTTTCTTGTAATTAACTGTTGAAGGCGATATTTATGGAACTTTTTTTGGTGATATATATCATGGTCTTATAGAACCTACTGAAATATTACTGCTTTACGACAAGTAGCTTAATTTTAAAAATTCAAAGTTTTTGAAAAATAAGTAGTTTTGTTGACATTTGTTAAAATTAAAATTAGATGATTTAGTTAGTATAACAATGGAGTACTTGGTCTTAATGAACATACTAAACCATTAAAGTCTTACGGATACTTGTTCAATTATAAAAATGATTGATTTTTGAAAATTTTCTTTTAGAAAATACTCCGTTAAGTGTTTGTTCATTTTCAATGATGTGTGATAAATCCATTAGGAATACTTTTAATCACTCATAAATTAATTTATATTTTATTGATTAAGTCGATTATTATGCCTCAAGACTAAATACCAATACCAACTAGTTTTATATAAAGTTTTAATTATCTATATCGAACTTCAAGGTTGAAAGGTTGAATTGAGAGCTATTATAATAATTAACAATCTACTAGTTTATGTGACATAGTAGGTATACATTTGGATCAAATTAATAATAAATTGTAGTTTTTTGTCATTCTGGTATCTACATTGTGGATAAGGAGTACTAAAAATAGTTATTGGAATGTGCATGCAATTTCAAATATCAATATCATAAACTTCTCGTTTTAATAAAATATCTATGCATAAATATTTTAATTCTTTATCGCTGCAGAAATTAATCTAGCAGTGCACATGAAGTTATCTTTTAATATTTCCGACCGCCAATCGATTTCAAAATTAAACTAATAATTTTAAACATAGGTTTGACAAATTATACAAAAAGCTTCCTGTCTCATAAAATGCGTTTATGTTTATATCCATGTTTTCATTGAAAATTGCTACTGTACAAAACCAGTTCCACGCAACGGCGGAAGAAATAATGAAACAGCCTTGTAAAAACATCCGCCGGTATGTACAATTGTAATCTATTCATTGATATTGGCAACTATTCACTATCCAATGATTCTATGGTTAATAAAAATCCGTAATGGGCGTTAGCCAAATTTCTAGACCATGGGTGTGCGTGATGTAAAAATAAATTGGTATATTTAGATATACCTGATCACATACATAGGTGCATATATTTGCCGGGCAATGGTTTGCGATGATGACTGTCGTGTTTTAAAAATAAACTGAACCGTGGAAAAAAGATACATGGTAGTTGATTTGTTTCAAGCAATATGAGGTAGAATTACACCATTTACCTCTATTGGAAGAAATTTGAGAGACAACACGAGAACTTTTGCCTTCTCCGACTCTTGTTGAAGCTGTGACCCAAAATTGGTATTCAGCATGTTGCTGCAAATCCTTGGCTTCAAATGTTGTTTGTGAAGAAGCTAAATTGCGTTTATTGTGGTTAAGTTCCTCTCGTCCTTCCACGGCCCTGTACAGCAAAAATTTATTTAAAAATTAATACAGAATGAATATTTTAATAAAAAATTTTAGGTACACGGCTCTGTAGAATAAAAGTTTATATAAAAATACAGAATAAATATTTTAATAAAAATTCTTATGTACACGGCCCTGTAGAATAAAAGTTTATAGAAAAATACAGAATAAATATTTTAATAAAAATTCTTAGATACAGTGTTATTTAAGGAATTCTAGATTTTTGTACAAAAACTATTTACGGAAATATATTTTGCTCCTTTAATTAGTTTTTGGATAAGAAATTACTAATACAAGGCGTAACATACATTGATAATATCATAATCAAAATGATACAATTGACAAAGAATTGTCATAAACGCTATATAACCTTAAAATGCAATTTTATAACTAGTGGTGCATGGCATTGTGCCTTAAGGAAATTTGCTGGAACTTTTCGTATCGTAACAAAATATTTGAGGATTATTAAATGTTTTCAAATAAATTATTATAAATGCTGATTGTCTAATGATTGTAAGAATTATATAAACTGAATTACAAAGTTTAAATCACTTATTTAAAGTATATAAGTGAGCTTTAGAACTTTAGCCAGAATTAAAATTAAAATCTGAATTGTTTTCGATATACATAAAAAAAACTTTGAAATAAAAAAAATCCAAATGTGATTGTTTTGTCAATACAAGGAGAAAGTTTTTTGAATGATTCAAATCGGATGCTTAGTTCTCTTGAAAACTGCCGTTTTTTTACATCTAGCTCTGTATCTTTCAAATGGCTGGACCTGGCCGAAAACTTATCACCACTTCTCTCAATCAATGCAAATTGAACGTTTTCTGGATGATTCAAATCGGATACTCCGTTCTCTCAAAATGCAAAAATTTTCATTTTTGATTTTCGGCCCATTACTATAACTTACCATACGGAAAGTTAAAAAAAATTTAATGGAAATTTTTGAAAATGGTGTGTAATAAAATTACGAATAACATAAACTGCTAAATTTTTGCATATAATTTTGCAGTAATTTTTCCATAACACCTTAAAGAATGTTTCAGTAGGGATTTCTTGGCATCTGATTTGCAAAACTTTCCTGTTTATAAATTCCGATTGAGTATGTACACAGTATATACTGTTACATTCTGTATCTTACGCGATAAAATATGTAGCTAGTAAATTTAAAATTGTATCAAAAATACATTTACCTTATGTATAAAATATATTTGGTGATTATTCCATTAGGTTCTACTGGAGGCAACCACGAAACAAACAACGACTGAGGGGAACTGACTACTACTTTGATATCAGCTGGTGCTTCAGGTACTAGAGTAAAAAATAGTTTTACTATTTTTAGTACCATTAATAAAAAATATATATTAAAACTATCATTAATTATTTTAATACCATCTTCCTCAGTTCGGCAATGAGAAGTTTGTGTCAGTACACCATCGCCAATTCTGGTAAAAGCTAAAACTTGCATACTGTAGTTTGTGTATCTGCGTAGTCCTGTTAAAACAGTTGTTAGGGCTGTTGTTTTTCTAGTTTCCATATCGTCATTGACTAAAGATAATAAAATAAATATTATTTATTAGAAAAAATTATATTTGCAATATCAAGTATATAGCATATTGTCTTCCATTTGTGGAATTGCTGAGTTCAGCTCAAATAAAATAATAAAAAAAGATCAACGTTTTTTCCCAGAACGTTTGTATCTTCTAAAGACAAATTTTTAGAAATCAATGATTTTTATAATTAACACCAAGTACTCTAAACTTAATTTAAAATTTTTTAAAAACTAAACTACTTGTCGTAAGGCCGTAATATTTCAGTAAGTTCTATAAGCCCATGATATATATCGCCAAAAAAAGTTCCATAAAAATTGGCTTAATTTTTTTAACAGTTAATTATAACCCAGTATGCTTTATACCTAAAGAAAAGACCATTTTCTCAGAACCTTTATACAAATTCCTTACAAGTCCCTTTGTAAAAATTTACAACTTATTTGGAATACAATTCTCATTTTATTTGTTGTACACTTAACTATTTATATACAAGCACCTATTTTTTTTTCAATTTGAATTATTATAATATTTATTTAATTATTGTTATGTAAAAATTGTTAAGTGTTATATTATCAAAATAATTCGTGTAATAAATTCTAAGTTAATATTCAAACACATAATTATTTTATTGTAAATATTTTTAATAAGCTACCAATTCATCGACAGTTTGAAATTTTCTAATCAAATTTAAGAATGCGATTTAAAAATAATCGTTTATTATACTTTTTCGCAATATTGCAACATAAGCTGTTATAAATTAAATTATCGGAATATTTCATAAAAATAAACACATTGCGATTGATTGAATTTAAATTATTTCGTCAATGAAAAGTATTGCTACTGATTCAAATTTTCCATTTATAAACTATAAATCTAATGTTATAATTTCATACGAAAGAAATTAAACAAATTGTATATAAAGTAGAGGAATTTAATACAATGACTGTTTTTAAAAAAATGTATACATAATTTTTAAAGATAGATTTGGTTAAAAATATGCTCCTGGGTAACATGCAATGATATCGTCTTCTAAGTTGAACGTTTAACACAGAACCCTGGATTTATTTTTAGTCTTTGGTATATTTTTAAATATATTTAATTTGTCTTTATATTTACAGTCTATTGATGATAAATGAATACTATTATTCAAGAAAAATCAATAGTTTACCATTCTGGTCTTAAACAGTTTTTGCATCGAAAAGAAATATGTTGCTAAGAGTAAAAATTCACAATATTCAGAGTAATATTTAAATTTATGACTTTTTCTATCTTTTTATTATTGAAGATTTGATAATGATGATAATTAATGTAAATAAATTCATATAACACACATTTTCTACATCACTAGAAAAGGGCACAAAAGGCACACAAAAAGATATTACTTACGTCCAGGAATGTGATCTTCCACAACTGGTTCATAAAATAATTTATACCCTTGCAAAAGACCATTGCAATATTCAGGAGGTGGTGGTTGCCAAGACACTTGCAAAGATTGAGAAGTCAGAGCTGCACATCTTACATCTTCAGGTGGCATTGATGGAACTAAAATGGTAAAAAATGATTGAAATTATCTGAATCAAAATAAAATACATTTTCTATATGTTTATTAGAATATCTAAGTGAATTAACAAAGGATAGACGTGAAAATTAAAATTACAATTGGTGTTTTTACCATCTTCCATTGTTTGGACAGAGGCTGGTTCTGAAAGAGGTCCTGGTCCAATTTGGTTAAATGCCTGAACTACTACAGAATATCTAGAAAATTTAGCTAGACCTCCTAGTAACAGCTCTCCTGAACCATCTTCACCATCACCAGATACAGAACTAAAATTGTAGTGTGCTGAAATTGCACTGTTTGATCTATAACCTGCAAAATGTAATAACGACTATCAGTCTTGTTTATACCAATAAAAATGAATTTATTAATATTATAATTATTCTCACCAACGTTGTATCCTTGAATTTCCCCATGTCTTAATTCTGCCAAAGGTGGAGACCAAGTAACTAAAACTTCTGTGGAAGAAACAGGCCTGGCAGATAATTGAAGAGGTGGACCAGCTGGTCTTTGTGGTTCAGTACGAACTGACAATTCGGTACTTGGTGCACTTCTTCCTAAAATTCAAGACAATAACAAAGAGTAATTAAAACATGGTTTAATATGATTTTTAGTAATTTTTTAATTTTTACCTGCTGGTCCTTCTGCAATTACCCGAAATGAATATCTCGTTGCTGGTTTCAAATCTTCAATTAAAGCACTTGTTGGTGGTTGTGGAGATGTTACACCTGGTTGGTGCATTCCTGTTAATTCTACTTGCTGCCAAGAACCTGTAAAAAAGATATCGTGGAGATGCAACTTGGTGACATAAAAATTTATTTTATTAAATGTGAAAAAATTAATCGATTACTACTTACGATCGCCTTCTCTATATTGTACAATATACTTTGAAACATCCGAAGAATCAGCAGCCCCACTGGAGCGTCTGATCCATTTAATATTGACAGATCTAGAAGACACCATGGCAGCCTCCAAAGCTTCTGGTGCTTTTGGTGGTTCCTGAATCAAAAGTTGCACCATTTGTTGGTCTCTTCCATATTGATTAGAAGCTTGACAAAAGTAGACACCACTGTCTTTAGCTTCGGTTGCTGATATCATGATTTCAGCACGAACTCCATCAGGTGTTGCATCTTGTTTGACGGCCACCCTGATAAAATAAGATATAACATATATATCTTTCCAAAAAATTTTAATTTGAAAAGATCTACAATTTTGATAGTTTTAAAATGTTGAAGTACCTATAATTTGTAGATGGATTCATCTCTTGTTTTCCGCCACGAAGCCAAATAACATTTATAGGTTTGTCACCACTAACATCACAGAACAATACAGCCTTGTCACCTTTTTTGACAGTTACCAGACGAGAAGGCGCAGAAAAATATGGAGATGCTAAAATTGCAATATTTTAATAAAATTCAAATATGAAATTTAGATGATTGGAAGAAGAATAAACTTACAATTGACTTTTAATTGTATTACTTTTCCTATACCAGTACCAATACCATTATTGGCTTGGCAGAGGTAGTAGCCTTCTCGATCTTCTTTGACATGTTGTAAAAGCAATGTGCCATTTGGTAAAAGTTTTGTGTACGGTCTTTCTCGTACTTCTTCGTAATCTCCAGATTTACCACCTAATTTAGAATAATATACATTAAAATTGGTGAATTGATATCTGCACTTAATATAAATGGATAATAAATTCCTAAGTTAATTTTATTTATACAAAAAGGATCAACATGTTCAAAATAGATTGCAACCATTGACAATGAAGGATGTATACAAAATTTATCGTAAATAAATATTTTAACTATTTATTTATCATTACCAATAGCTTTTTTCCATACAACAGTTGGTACAGGAACACCCTGAGCTTGACAATGTAAAGAAACATGACGATTTCTTTCAACACTTATATCAGCTGGTTCAACAACCCATCTTGGTGGAACTAATTATTTAATTAATAAAAATAATGTCAACACTATATAGTTACTTAAAAATTTAGCATAGGCAGAAGGCTATTAAACTTAGAAATACGAATATAACTATCGTTTGTTTCAATGGATTTTTTTCCAATTTATTAAAATAGTTTATAGACCATTATTGATCAACTAATATTTAGTTTTCATGAGTCGACCTGTGTAATGTCTAAATGTATAATTAAATATATTGATTCTTGAACATTCACATTTATATCAAATTATCTATTAAAAATACTGGCTTAAAATGGTGTCGATGGCTTTCTTAAGTATAATTTATAATTTTACAAATTTGAGCAAAAATGGGATATAATTCTTCAAAATATTTATATTTTGTAATGAATATATTTGTCGCATTTTCAAAATTTATATAAGCACAAATGTTTAAAATTTAAAATATTTTTTTACAATATATTTTCCGTAAAAGCCCTCTGCCACTGCTACAAAATTTATTTATACACTAATTTTATTTACAATTTACTATTTACAAAATTCTTAATTAATATGTACAGCCTTAACTCTATATTTACAGGGTTTTATCGTAGAAAAAATAGTAAACAGTAAAAATCGAAAAATAAATTTTAAAAAATTATTAAAAGAAATATATGGGTGTAAAAACGACGCGGCTTTGTCTCATTATTTAATATAAATATGAGTAAATATTTTTGATTATTTGTTGTTGTGTGTAAATGAATATGTATAAATGTAAAATTAAAATTAAATTAGTTTTGGATGTGACAAACAGAGATAGAGGCGTAACATGGGTCTAACTACAAAAAATATTTGGACAATGAGAAACATCACTTTGTTGTAGAAGTTATAGCACATTGATTTTAATTTCAGTATTTTGATAAAATTGTATAATTTAATTTATTTCAATGTAAGATGTTATTTATTGAGTGATTCTTTTAAATACAATTATTAAAAGATTAAAAAAGTTCTTAGATGTTTTTTTCCTGAATTTAATTTTATTTTCTAGTTCAATAATTTGATAAATATAAAATTAAAGCGTTTCAGATTTTGGAATATATTGCATAAAAACAGGATGATCGAGAAAAATGTTCATGATACATATAATAGTTTTGGAATGTTTCAAGATTTGAAAAATTACTAAAAATGAAATCCAATAAAATTTGATAGCAAATAGACAGCATTTTCAGTACAGTTTTTAGTACCAAGAAAGAAGGATAAGATGTTATGTAAGTTGTTATGGCAACGCTATGTTATTGTCTATTTTACGAAAGAATTAGCTTTAAAGAAGCAATTTAAATAATATTTATTCTTTTAACATTTATAATCATGTCGCTCTAAATATGCTATAACCTCTCGTTAGACAAATAACATTACTATTAAAAAAAATCTAAGGACAAAAACAAATGATAAATTTAACAAAAAGCTCTAAAAACTCAAAATTTTTGTTTTCAACCAAAAAGGACGTAGGATGATCAATGTCTAAATTTGTTAGCAGCCGCATGTTATCTGTGAAAAAAAGCTGGTTTATGTGCTATTTTCAGTGTTCTTACTTAAAAAACAAAACAAAAGCAAATATTAAAAAAATATTAAATAAATTAAAACAACAAAAATATGAAAACTAAAAGAATAAAGTGATAATAAAAATTGCAATTGGAAAGTTGCAAGACATGACACAACACCAATATTCTTTTCAAAAAAAGCTACAGCTAATAATTTGGAAGAAAAATTATGCATGCACAAAAATAATTTATATTCAAAATCTAAGATAGATAATTTAATAAGTATAAAAAATAATTTTAAAAAATATTTAAAATTTCAACTAATTTTGTTAAGTAGAATTATTTAAAAAAAATCTAATCATATTGCCAATTCTCAAAATTCATTTTTATTCTATGATTTACAATTATAAAAAAACATAAAGAAGCGTGCTAAAACAAGTCATCATGCACAAGAAGAAAAGAAAAAACATTTCATACATGAAGAATTATTAAAAATACATGTATTTATAATCCAGATCAGATAAAAATAGATACAAGGAAAATATATAAAAATAGAATTTTTTTCTTTAAAAAAAATGAGAGAGTTTGGTGCAAATTTTTACCTTTATTCACATGACAAGATGTGTTTCAGGTAATTGACAGACTAAATAGTAATAATTATGATATTTATTAAAGTTTTCACTTTTTCTTCCGTGTTCAGGTTTTGTCAGGGATAAAATAATTGTCCTACATGGAATTAAGGGTCATAAGTATAAAAAAGTTATTATTCTATTAAAACCTTATTTCCTTGCAGGTCAACTTTGAGACAATTAAAGTAAAAACAGTGATAAGGCGAATTAAATATATTTTTGAATCATCAAACATTCCAACGGCGTGCGAAAGCCTGTTTAGGAAAATTTGGGAGAGGGTTTTATTTGATTTTTAAGCCTAATTGCTCTTTTCATATACAATTTTATCATTTTTATGAAACGAGCATACTTAAAGATGTATCCATAAGATTCTCACTACATTTATTGGTAAATCTTAATTTTGATTAATTAATTAAAATTTGATCTTATGTACATACATCGATTACTAGAAGGCATAGAGGCGGTCCTAAAGTATTTTTGTGACAATTTTTTTACAACACAATAAATTTGCAAAGAAAAAGTACAAAAAACTGGTGTATTTGTTCTGTGTATAATAACAAAAACCTTGTAACAAAAGACCTTTCAAAATAAATATAAAATTTTTGTTAATTATAAAAAATAATAAAATGGGTAGATTTATAAAAAAAACCTATAAAATAAAAATTATATATCCTAAACTGGAGATTTTTTGATTTATTGGTTCCTAGAAGAAAATTGATTAGATGTTAGATAATCCCTATTGATCCTGTTTTGGTCAATTCTGTGCGATGCACGAAATTACTTCATAAATTTTCATAAAATAATAAATTATATTTTCATTTAAATGGATAATTAAAGTAGTTTAGTCTTTAAATAATAATTTTTTAAAATTATTATTCAAAAATTTTTATATAAAATATTTAAGTATATGATATCTATAATAAAATGTTCATATTAGTATAAATATTAAAAATTAACTTATTTTAAATATCATATTGAAGTAAATTCGAGCTCGACAATAAAATTCAGTTCCCTAAGACTGGTAAATATTTCTGAACATATTTGGCACAAGTCGAATAGTCGAATACTATATTTAAATGTATGGTGGATATGAAAATTATATATTTTAAGCGGTTAAAACGCTCAAATGAAAGATCTTATAGGTCAACTATAAGATCTTTCAGGTCATAGGTCTATGACCTGATATGTATAATATCAAAAGAAGGTGAAAAAAACTAGAAAAGTACCAATTTGTCTTTTATCAAGACCGAAGGTATCTTTATGTAGAATTAATGACACATAATTTTTTAAATCTATTCGTAGAAATTTAGCACAATTGTCTTACAAAATTCATGTACTCATCTTCTTTATTTATTCTAAGACTACATGTCGGAAAGACTAACATGCCCATTGAAGTCGTGACCATTTTCAAGACTTTATATAACTCTTTTTTTCAAAAAAGTTAACTAGAAGTATGTCAATTATTCAGCAACATCTAAGATTTATTTGTAATTTTTGGAACAAATAATCTTTAATTCATAAAATTTATGGAATACAGCTGTACTCCCGCTTACAAGTGACCCGACATACGTTAGTGAATTATTACACAGTTAGTCATTTCAATTTAACTATGATTGAAATTTTAACTATGCATGTACAGTTATATACGACGAGTTCTTGATTTTTACTTTTTGTACATTTACAAAATATTATGTACTTTTATAACCATGCTCTGAAGAAAGGGATCCATATCTCTAGAATTAAATCGTAAAATTATTGGAAAATATGAAAATGGAGATGCCGAAATGGAGCCGAGCATAAAACATGATAAATACGTACTATGTTTAAACAGATAAAACTTATAAAAGATATAACTCCAGATAAAAGCCTTAAAATAATTTATAAGTACTTTTCTGAGCAGGCACCCGTTCGAGCAGGCAAGTTGTCTAACACATTTGGGCAATATCATGAATGGTCTTGAAAAGAAAATAATTGAATGAATGAATAGTAAATTTAATATTAATAGTCAAAAAACTTAACAAAACGAATATTATTCAAACGAATTAATGGCATTTTTATGGAAAAAATTGCATCGAGATACGAGCGATTCGACCTACAAGCATGGTTACGGAACGAATTAAGCTCATATGACGGTATTTTATATAATATTTAAATGATCTGCTACTGATCTGCAAATGTAGTTTATATTGATTTTCACTTAGTTTGTCTGGTATGGCTTCCATGACTCTATTCCTATATACGTTTTAGGGTGCCACTCGTATGCGCAAAATGTTGGCATGTTTTATTTCAATTACCGACTTGTTCCAAAACTTCTACGAAATATTTACCAGTCACCCGTGTAAAAGCAGTAGTTTTGCAAATGATTCGATCATTCGACGATTCGCCTTCCTTTGATACCTTTGACTTGCAACCTGGCCGACAGTCGCACTTCAGCGGCCGGATTGCTAGCGACGCAAGTATAGAGTCCACTGTGATCAGCTGTGAGCGAAGCTATACTTAGAAGGGAAGAATACGAATCCAGCGATGTAACATTTGCTTTAAATCTTTCCGAAGATAGAGGTTGTCCATCCTTCAGCCACCTTATGGTGAGAGGCTGGTCGCCGCCGGAGACGCCGCAGACGGTTCTCGTCCGCATCGATTCGGCGAGGCCTTCTTGGAAGGAAAAGGGCTCGATAATGGGAGGAACTATAGACAGAAAAAGAGACAATACGTACGTCAAACACCTTGAACACTTAACATTGGACCATAGATTTGGAGCTTTTGGAGATTATATTTACATCATTGCTGGAGCTGAGGAAGAATTAATCAAAACTAAGGCAAGAAAGAAGTGAAAACGTAAAGATGAAAGAGTAATACACTAGGTTCTGTTTGGAATTCGAGTTATGAGGTGATAAGATATATACATCACAAAATACATTTCAAAATTAAACATTTCGACAAAATCTGATACAAGACTTCTGGGGGAATAAAAAAACTTCAAATTTACAATCTGCAAAAAAGACAAAAATGAAAACAAGTTTGATTATTAAAAATGTTGAATAAAAAACTATAAACAAGTGAGGGTAAATGGGTAAAAATATGCTGGTCTCAAACTATGGACTTGCATGAGTTATGAGATGATAAGATAATATACATTGCAAATTAAGGGATCGATTCTGCCGCACTACAGACCAGTGTTATGGCAAGGCTTAAAAGGTTATACTTCAACTTCCATACATTATGCTGCTAAATCATACTGAATACTGTCAAAATATTATGTATTTGCTATGCATTCAGGCGTTTTACACAAAACCTACAACGCCACTCGTATGCTATAAAGCTGTGTCAGAAAGAACGTGTTATCTAAGATCATTTTTTGACATTTGTACGGCTTCTAGATTAAGTGTTCTATCTGACAACCTGGAAAAAACGACTGACTACACAGCAACTACATGACTTTGTCAATATTTAGTATGGAAAGTTCTTCATAACATAGCCTTGCCAGACCATTGGTTATGCGGCAGAATCGGTTCATAAATTTCAAAATTTAACATTCTGACAAAAACTTCTGGGAGAATGTAAAAACTTCAAATTTGCAATTGTGCAAAATGACAACATGTTTGAAAATTATTGATGTAGAAAAACCAAGTGTACACAAAAAAGACAAAATGATAAAAATCTGTTGGTTCCAAGCTATGAACCTGCAAAAATAATAATAGTCAAAACTAATATGAATCAACGGTGATTTGTCATAACTCTAATAGTACGGCTGTGCCACTTTTTTGTTCAGCAATAATTTTGTTTATTTACCAATTAGCTGGAAGAAAAGTAAGTTCAATAGCAAATTCAATATGATAATCTGCCTAAGTGCAAATACTGAAAATCTAAATATTTCAGGCGACTGTCAGTATCATAACCTGGCACAACCGTACCTAGCCTTTCCTAGTGTTTTGGTAGGATATTATTATTCAGTAACACTAATTAAAAAATGAATAGTACAGAATATAATGGATACTATAGATTTAAGATTTAAAAGTATAAAATCTTATAATATTTTTATCTGATTGTAAAATTGAAACGCCGACTGGTTCCACAATCTTGAAATTTCGAGTGTGTTTATTTAAATTTTATTTTCTATTATTTTTATCACCTTAACACTCATCCAAACATGTTAACATTGTATATATATATAATAAATATAAAAATTAGATAAAATCACAAAACAGATAAAACATCAAATATATATAGATGTCGATGGATGCTTTTTATGTCAACTACTTGGATGCATTCATTATTTCGATTCCAACGTGCGTTATGATCTGAATTCTTTGGTTCAGTCGAGCTTTGTACATATCATCCTCCACCATCAGTCATTTACCATTAACCAAAACACGTTGCCAGCGAGAAGCCTCAGCTGCCGAATTTCTGACGGTGCAAGTATAATTTCCACTATGTTGTGGCGTCAAACTGTCGATTACTAAGATGCTGTTGAACTGATCGACTTGGGTTACAGATTGGCCGCCGTCGGCATTGGAATTTACTTGATTTTGAGAAGCGTCCAGTTGTCTTCCGTCTTTGCTCCAAGTGGTGACCAAAGGGAGGTCGCCTTTAACGACTGTGCAGGTTAAGCTGGCGCGTTCGCCAACGTTAAGGGAAACTTCGGCGCTATGGAACGGGCTAAGTTTGGGAGGCACTGAAAACATATTTCGGCAAAAAAACAGCTATAATTTTGGTCAAATTGTAATTGTCAATTACTTTTTTTTGAAACCATGTTAAAAATCTAACATGAATTAGTTTGTCATAACTGAGACAAGTATTTGGAAATCAATTTCTTGTACAATTGTAGATATCATGATATTACCTATAACAGTAACTTCTCCACTTCTCCTAGCACTATGTCCTTGTTTATTCCTGGCCCAACATGTATAAACTCCGGAGTCTGCATTTTTTTGAACTGGACTGACTACCAAACTTCCATCCGGCTGGACACGTTGTCTAATATCTTCGGGTAACTCACGACCGCCTTTAAAAAGTTACACGTCAAGAAATAATAAATTACTTGAAAATTTATAAAATATTTATGAAACAATTTGTTTAATGTTTCGTACTCCGTTCCCAGTGAATTTCCTCTATGGGATACCCTGCCACAGGGCATTTTAGTTGCATTCCTTCACCTGCTACTGCGGTCACTTTGGGAATTAGTCGGATGTAAGGCGCACCTGAGGAGAGAGATTCCAAGAACTTAATATTGAATAATTGAAAAATAAGCTAAAGTAATATCAATTTACCATAATTGAATATATAAAAATATTTTTTAGTATCACTAACTCTATTATCAGATGATAATAGAGTTATAATATAAAATAGAAGATAATATTAAATATATAATAATTATATCCAAGAATCAAAATTACTTCACCAACACCCTCAACGCATTTTATTACGAGTTTGTGATTACATTTTAATAAAATACCGAAAGGTGTTGTAATATAATATACTTCGCTCCCTTTCGGGCGAGATATCCAATAAACACCTTTAGAAAGTGATTAAAAGGTATACAAAGAAATTTCGAGAAGCGCGCATTTAAAATCGAGTTCGGAGAGAAAACTTTTTTAATTTAACATGATTCGCAGAACTCAGACTGACAAAGAGCGGTTACTGACAATGGAAAACTCTCAGTCAGAGTAAATTTCGAGAATTTTGATTCATCAGAAGCTCTGGTGTCTATTAGATGACTTTTGCTCTATCTTATGCATTTAGGAGAAACATTTTATAAAATACTTTTGGTTAATACATTGATACTGCAAAATTATTAAAAGCTTAACTGGTAGTACTTGTTAATATAATTTATAAAATAAAATACTGTATTCGTGGATAAGTAAATAAATTAAAATTTAAGGTTGCTACTATTAGAGTACAAAATTAAAAGTTTCAATCATGTTGAATTATAAATTAAACTCATGAGCGTATTATTCATAACTGAATGTAATAAATGTTAATATTTAAATGTAATTTAATTTATCCAAATTTCTCAAACGATTCTATTTTATAAATAAGATTGTTATACACATCTTTTGCTCTGCTTTTGTAGTCAACAGTACAAATAATTTTTTATTATAATTTTAAGTAGTTTGTTATACAATTATATTTTCATAATCATTTTAATAAAAATATTAACTGATAAATAAATCGTCCGATTTTTAGAACTTTATTTATGGTTTTTCTTTTTTTAACACATAGCACATAGCATCCATTTTCATTGTGATGCAGAATGACCTGAATGCTATAGAATTTAAATTTAAAAGTCAAATATTTAGAATTTAATTTTATATGACCTTACATTTTTGTAATTATTATACTTGTTAAGATATTAACTACCTGATTCTTCAGGTATTTTTGTATTACCTTATATTTTCCCGTAGTCATAAATTATCGTAGACACATGGATGCTATAGCATTCATAGTATATAACGATTGAAAATATAAAAATATGTTCATTTCCAAATATAGTTTAATTTATCAAAATTTCTCAAACAATTCTATCTTATAAATAAGACTGTTATAAATATATTTTGTTCTGTATTTGTAGTGGACAAATGTTTTTTTATTATAATTATAAGAAGTTTGTTTTACAATTATATCTTTATAATAATTGCATTCAAAATATCAATTGATCAAATTTAAAAGTCAAATATTTTGAATTTATTTTCATATGACCTTACATATTTGTAATTATTATACCTGTTAAGATAATATCTACATTCTTTATGTATTTTTTGTATTATCTTATCATATTGAGTAAAATAAAAGTGTAATACTTGACGTGGATGCTATAGCATTCATTGTATAGAATAAATAAACATATAATAATCAGACTACCCTTTTGAACAGTGTTTAATCAGATACTACAAACAATTCAAAAATAATGACTATCAATTTCTGTATCATATTAAAACTTGTACTGCTCGTGAACGAGTTAAATTATTTGTTATTAAAATAGTGTAATTTGTTGTGAATATTTTTTTTATTTCTAAATTAGTAGCTTTGTCACAATGCAAGAGTTTTTTTTTTAAATTTTGTAATATCTACTGTAAAAAAGAATTGAAAGAGTACAGAATTGTAAGTTTTTTTCTCTATACTCTATCATCTTACGTTGATATAAGAGACTAATCTTATCCGTGCAAAAATATATCAAAAACAACACAATAATATTAAAATAAAATTATGTTTCTCTATATTATTTTCTACTCTTACCGTAAACATTGAGCCTCGCAGCATGCGATGTTTTCCCAGCCCTGTTTTCGGCTGCACAACTATATTCTCCGCCGTCCTCGACCATGACGTGGCTAATATTCACGTGACTAATGACGTCACCGTGCACCGTCACGTATTGGCCGATCACGAACCTACGTTTTACGGAAATCATCGTCAGAAAATACGTTTATTAGAGTGGATGAAGAAATCATTGAGATAAAATTAAGGGCTGTTGAAGGGTATTTTTTTAACATGAAATAGAATACATTATTTTGTCTATTTCCAATATTCTTGTCATTTTATTAATTTCTGCAACGATTTTGGTAATAGTGGTAATGGTAATCTGCATTTGATATCATATTTCAGATATATATCAGAACAAGTATCGCATATGGAAGTATATTATAGGTGATAGATAGGGTAGGGCTATAAGGAGGTCGAATTTGAATTTGAGCGATTATATTGTGAAAACCAAACCAATTTTATCACAAAAAATACCACATAACAAACAAACAACTATCTGACTTCAGTAAAACTCCCATCTATTTCATCATTGTAGAAATGTGTCTTTTTTGCTGTTTTTCAGTAATTTGTAACCTGGTCCTTTCTACCCTATGGGCGGGGTAAATTGTGACGGCAAGGAAGCAAAAAGGTCCAATGTATTATTTTCATTCTAAAGGAATTTTACGAAGCAATGGCTACACTATTCAACCAATGCAAAATATAAATTTCATTGATGCATTTTTTACAGAGATAATACTGTAAATAACCTTGATCTGGTCTTTCGTTAGAAATATTTATCAGCAGAGTTAGAAAAACTATTTATTTAATATAAATCTTATAAAATAGCTTTTTGTAACATATTCTACATTAATATTTGTTAATTTTTATTTTCTACACCTTTGCCAGGGTGAAGGTTCAGTTGCTCCTTTTTACCCCACCTAGATGTAAGCTTTTATAGAGATTATATTGAAAAAAGCTGTTGAATCTAAATTAAAACTAGTGGGACGCATGGCATCGTGCCTTAAGCCAAATTGCTGGAACTTCCCGTACAATTTTTTTTTAAATGATTAACATCTTTGAAAAAAAATACTCTAAAAAAATTAGATTTTTGAGAAACTATAAATTTTTGACAGAAATCATCTTGTTAATGCAAGTAAAATGTTTTTTGAATTATTCTCTTACAAACTGAGTTACCGTTTTTGACACTTTTTGCCCCATATCTTTGGAACGGCTAGACCCGCCTTCGCCAAAAACTAATCAGCAATTCTCCTTATCAATACAAATCGAATGTTTTTTGAATGATTCAAATCGCTTCATCCGTGTTCCCGAAATCGTCGACGGAAATTTGTATTCGAACACACATACACACACACATACATCCATTTTTTCTAAAGTATGCCAAAATGTTCAGAAGGTTTTGAAACGTAAAGATATATAAAAAATTTCATTTTCAGTTTTTTTGCGATTACTATAACTTGCCCTACAGGAAGTTAATTAATAATACCTAATATAAAAGAATTGAATAGCGTATATTTAATAATTATATTAAGGTATCGTAGCGACAGTGCTCACGTAAGAAAATACATTTGTTATGGATTTTCAAACATTGCCGTTTTTATTCTGATAGAAACGTCGTAAGAATCAAGATGACGGCTGTTTATACATTTTTCCTCTACTTTAAATTATTATTGTTAAAAAAACTTTAACTTTACTGATTTTTGTGATGAACCTTAAGGCCCTCTATACCCTACATAATATCAGACAAGAACTGTATCAATTGATAATTTATTATTTCAACATTACCATCTGTTAACTTGCAATTTACATTACTACGGTCTATCATACTATACTATCTCGTGCAACAAAATTATTTTAATATGAAACTTTTCTCGGGTAATTGAACTTTCCGAGCATACCAAAACATTTTCTCTTCGGATTCAGGAATAGCAAACTCGTTCATTGAAAATTACGCTCTATAGAAATTGAAAGCTACGTGGGCGACCGGCTGCGCGCGGCATACGGAATAAGACGCCGCGGCAACGGCAGCAACGGCGGCGGCGGCCGGATTCGACGTGATTACACGAATGTGAAATGCGGAGCTAAGCGGGCGATACTTTGTAAATATTTATATGTTGCCAGGATTGATTGATGAGAAAAAAGGATTTGAGAAGGATATCAGAGAGGATTAAATAATGTTTGCTTTCACTCGGAATTTGTTACATTGAGATTAATGGTATTTTTTGTATATGAGATCCTAAACACATATAATTTGTATGAGATTCAAATAATAACGTTAGCCTTTAGTAATTTAGATCGATTGTCAATTTTTGTTGCTGTTGTCTGTACACATAATTCGAAGCTGCAGACTTAGGAGTATTCTAACAACAATATTCGAAAGAAGAGAGCTTAAAATTTATAACCAACCATCCCTTGAATCTTACGATCCCGAAAATAACCGGTAATATTTAAAAATCCATAATAAACGTATTTTTTTGTTGTCTTTTCGGTTGTGAGCACGGTTGTTTAGTTTACAAAATCTTAATATAAGTCTTAAGTCTGAAAATGTATTGATATTTTTAACTTCCCGTAAGGTAAGTTATTGTAATCGTCTAAAAATCGAAATTGAAAATTTTTACATTTCTCGACGTTTTGAAGGTTTCTGAACATTTTGGCATACCTCAGAAAAAATGGATGTGTGTGTGTATGTATGTATGGATATAATTTTTCGGTCACGTTTTCGGGCGCACGGATCAACCGATTTGAATGGTTCAAGAAACATTCGATTCCTATTAATAGAGAGATGTGCTGATTAATTTTTGGCAAAGGCAGGTCCAGTAGTTACGAAGATAAAGAGCAAAGAGTGGAGAAAATAGAAATCGAGTTTTTGGGAGAACGGAGCATTCGATTTGAATGATCTAAAAAACATTCAATTAGTAATAATTGAAATTTTTTGTTATATATCGAAATTAATTCAGATTTTATTTTTAATTCTGACTAAAGTTGTAATATATTTTAAATAAATAACTTTAACTTTGTAATTCAGTTTATATAATTTTTATAAATAAATCTTAGACAAATGTTACAGTATTTATATTAATCTATTTGAAAACATTTAATATTTCTCGAACATTTCGTTACTGTACGGGAAGTTCCAGCAATTTGCCTTAAGACACGATGCCATACACTCCACTAGTTTTTAAGTTAGATTCAACAGTTTTTTTTTATATAAATTCTATAGAAGTTTACACATGATTGAGGTAAAAAAGACCAACGGAATCTTTACCCTGGCAAATGTGTCATCATTAAAAATATTGAAATAATAAAAATTAATTAAGTTAAAAAAACAATTTTACAAGAAGCAAGTTAAATAATTAGTTACTCCAACTTATAGATATTTCTGACAAAATACTAAATAAAGTTTATCTCTGTAAAAATTATACCCATGAAATTTAAGTCTTGCATTGGTTGAATTATGCAGCTATTATTTCGTAAAATCCCTTTATCATTGAAAAAAAACATTGGACCTGTTTGCCCCTTTTTACTGATCCTATGGGGTAAAAAGGACCAGGTGACAAATTTTTGAAAAATAACCAAAAAAAAGTTCTACAGTAATAAATTAACTGGGAGTTGTACTGAACATAGTCAGATAGTTATCTTTTTGATATGTGTTATTTTTTGTGATATAAATGGTTTGGTTTTCACAATATAATTTGACCTAGGTGTTCTACCCTACTTTATAATAGAAATTAGTTAATTCAATACAACAAAACAATAATTTTCTAGTCAAACAGAATAAATTTAATACACAAAAAATAATTTTCTAGTTAAACAGAAATGAACATATGAATGGTGTAATTTAGATAATTTGGTATCCATTCATACTTTATCGTGACCACTAATATCATAACCTTTAATACGTTTAAATGCGGTTTATATAATTATATAATACCATTTTTATGTAAAATCGTCCTCAAACAGAATGTGCTTCTGCTCAAAACAAACAATTCACATGTTTCACAAAATTAATCCTATAAAATGATCACGTTCTACAAAAGCTGGGATTAATGTTTCAAAATCCCTTTTCATTTGTAATAGCATTTTATTCATAAAATGTTATCAGACATATCAATTAAATTAAAATATTACTCGTTCCACTTTCGAATCCGTATTTGCTCTTTGGACGAAATATACTGATATAGAGTGAGTTTTCCATGAAATTGAATGATCCCGATGTCAAACATAATGGATGTAGAGTAATAATGAAATGAAACGCTTGTAACATTTTGAATATTTTTTACAGGTTTAAAATTCGTTAGAATAATGTATGGTTTCATAAAAATGGAGTTAACGAAGTGAATAGAGTTGTTATTCGCTGGAGGACTTCATATTTCATCAGAACGACACTAAAAATAGTCAAACGCCAATGGAGTTTTTACGTCGGATGTAAAAAGGAAAAGTCATTTTACATTGTGGCTATTAATTTTAGTCAGAGTTACCACCTACTTAGAATTGATCCCATAAGTAAATTTTTTTCTAACTTTGCTATGTATAATAAAAATGTTTTTTTTTGCACTTTTATAATCTTACTGCATACGAGGAATGTAAATATAAAAATTCAGTGTAAAAAATTTCCCACTGCCATTTCACAAATGGAGTTTCCTTTATTACACACTTTTGATTTATATTTCATAATTAGATATTACATAAATCAGCATACCCCAGAATATCCAGTTTTCATATTGTAAACTATTTATTAATATATTATTTTCTAAATATTGTAATTGATATTCTCATAATGTTCAATTATACTAATGGATATGTATTATATAATATTTACACTAAAATGTGAAATTATATAATGAGTATTATAAATACTCATACTGAATTCTGTTGTTTTCATTTATATCATATAAATAAATGTATATAGCCTTTCTGATGAAAACTACCTGTGGGTATCAAATTTTCTAAATATTTTCTAATTATTTTTAATAATTTATTTGTAATGCATTTTTGCTGGTTGAAACTAATACAAAACTCGACCATATAAACTAAATATATGATAGGATCATACCAAAGTTTGTCAAAATTAAAAAAAAAGTTCTATTCTTATTGCTAACGAATAAATAAAAATTTATAATCATGTAAAACTATCTGTTAGTATTTACAATATTTGACGTATGCATTTTAATTAACGTATTTTAATGTTATTCACTTTTATAATATATATTCACTTTTAAAATATATAGACAAAAATAATAAATTAATAATATTTGTTAAAAAACATATTTGTTCATCACGAAATAAAATATTGGTAAACAAAATTATTTAAAATACTTCGTAATTAAATCATACATCATCATTAACTGAAGATAAAATGAAAGAACTTTAAATAAATATTTAGTTACAAAACCTTTAGTTACTTAACCAAATAAATTTGCGGTTAAAAAAAATCGTGAGTAGGTACTTCTTCGAACTTCTTTGCGGTAAGAATTCGCAGATTTTTTTTATTTTAGTTAAATAATTATTTTTAAATTAAAGTTGGGATTCTGTTAAAATTTAGATACACTAAGATAAAATAAAAAAAGAACTCTTAATAAATATGGGGAATATAAGGAATGAGGAAGATATTTACAAAGACTCGCAAATTTAAATTGAATATTTTTTACTGAAATTCATTTTACTTTATTAATGACCAAATGTAATATTAAACTTAATTTTAAATTAAAAAAAAATATTTATCAAAATGTATATTTTAAGTTTGTAATAATAAAATAAAATCAAGTTAGTAAGGTTTGAATCATAATCAAGTTAGAATCCAGTCAGACTCAAGACATAGGTTTGACATTTTTTTAAATGGTTACAAAATATATTAGACTTTTTTGAAAGTTTGACCATTTAAATATCAAGACTTTACTTGGTTTAAAAATATGTTATTGATGCTTAATATTGAATATAAAAATATATAATGGCGACAAATATTGACTCTTGGGTACTATGAGTATCTTAAGAACAATTTCCATAGACATTACACTGCATGGACTGCTAGTTCTCATATGTTTTCCGTTGTATATAGTGCTCAAACATAGAAGGGTATGTGATGTCACATGTCTGAGCAAACATTGCCGACGACAATCGCGAACTCTCCCGATTGATCAAATGTCATATGTAATATGTTACGTGCCTAACATAGACTTTATAAAATATAAACCGATTTTCAAGGGTGGATTCGATTTTATGCAAATTTTTGTCACAAGGGTAATATTATTAATATCATTTTTTACAAAATTATCAACCATCACAAATGCCTTTATATTATTGAAATAAAACTATCATAGATAATATTTGAATTGAAATAACTATTATGATAAATATTATTAAATATTATTAATATCATTTCCTACAAAATTATCAGCCATCACCATTGCTATTATATTATTAAAATAAAACATATGACATATGACATTTAATCATTCGGGAGATCCGCGATTGTCGGCAACGTTCGCTCAGCAAGTGGCGTCACAGTCCCTTGTTTTGCGCTCGACCAGCAGTTTATGTAGTATAAGGTCTATGACAAGATTACATTGTCTTAATGGAGTCACGTATTTCGAATCATTAATTAATTAATTATCAATTCAGAGAATATATACTAATAGAGACGAATTGATGCTGCACTAAATACGCAATTTAATTGGCAATCTAAATTAAATATAATTATTAAATACTTTGACAGGTTTTATTCAATACCATACATTAAACAAATGAATAAATAGTCTGCATTCTATTTCGAAAACTAAATAATTCACCAAATGTAGGTCATTTACTAATTAATTAGCTTTTGATTAACAAGCTTTTTGGAGCTTATCTCATTTATGCGGCAGAAATTATTAATGAGCTGCGCATTTTGTTGAACATAATTCTCTTTCTGTATCATCGGTGTCATCTGGCCGCTATTTGTAATCAACATTGGCCACACAGAATGCCGAATCGTCAATTTTGCCAGTGTAAGCTCTATTGCTATTGACATTGGTTTAGTATTGAAATATGACGTCATTATTGCATACTGATCAATAATATCCACGGCATAATTAATAGGATTACACATGCCGAACCGGCATATATATATATATATATATATATATATATATATATTTGTACCTAGGTGCTCTGACCGTTATGCGATGTACAATTTGTAAAGGCATTATGGGCTGATGCAGACAAAACGATGTTATTCAAACTTTGAGGGAATTTTGTACAGATTTAAACACCATAATTAACCAGAGATAGAACAATGTTGCAATGCGGTTAAAATCTTCCTTGGTTGTGCTAGTTGCTATGCCCAAAATTGAATTAGATTATTGTAAACCGTTTCAAGTACAAAGATCATTAGAAGTATATTGCATTTTAGGGTGTAGTCTGCTTTTGAAGCTTCAAAAAATCGATTTTTTTATTTAAAATGTCTTCCCAATCAAAACTAAACGAGACAAAATTGATTGTACTCAGAATTAAATTTTCTTCCAGTTGAACATAAAAAATCCTAAAAAAGTTATAAAAAATCAACTTTTAAACAATATACGAGTAAAGTGATTTTTTTTGGATTTGTTTTAAGTTGCGAAAAATGGTTGAATACCTCACTTCCTTAGATTTTGAAGGTTTAACTAAAACTATACTATTGAAAAAATAAATTTGTTTTGGTTTTTTTGTGTCGGATGAAAATTGTTACCTGGATCTTCTCCGCCACTTGACACATGCACGCTCGTATAGCCTCGGCAAAATGCTTGTACCCGGCATATTATGTAATATAATGAAATGAAAAATATAACAACGCAACCTGACAGCTTCGTTTCAATTGAATATTTATTTTCTTTCCTAAAAATTCCTTAAAAAATCGAATTTTTGAAGCCTCTAAAGCAGATTCCTCCCTTAAATGCTGCATAACAATCTAAATTGTCGAATTGTTATAAAGTGCATTTTGTTCGTAACTGTTAATGCAAAAATATATTAAAGCGATTTTGAAAACTAGATTATAAATAGAAATAGATTATAATTTGTTCATGACCTAATTCCGACTTGAATCCGACCTAATTCGAATTTTTCTCTAAGTAGAATCTCACTATTAAGTAAGGATTACTTGATTCTTCTTACTCAAATATTACTAAAATCTTCTAAGAGGATACCAACTATATTTTAAGTAAAAACTGATTCTAACTGAGTTCTTAGTAGATTATAACTAAAATCTAAGTAGAATACATCTAGAATGTGACCAGATATATTTTACTTAGATAAAACCCAATTAGGTTATAACTAGGTCCAAGTGATCGTAATAAAGTTCCAACTAAAATTGAACTAGATTCTGATTGGATTCTAACAAGATTAATACTACACTCTAACCAGATTTTAAATTGCTAACAAAATATAATACTAATTAGTTCCTGATTGAAAACTTCTATCTAAATAGCTAAATTTCAACTGTAGTTGATTACGCCAATTATTATACATATCAGAAACTTCAAACAACTTGCCCTGAGCTAAATGTCATTTTCACCTGGATGTCAAATAATTTGAAAAGGTGTAAAAAAATAAAATTAAATATGTAGATGCATAATACGCAGATGTATGATGATTTACGTGGACTTTCTGAGAGATTTATTCATTTTTATTATAACTTTTCGAAAAAAATTGTATATTTCCAGCAGGCGAAAGGCGTGTTTTTTATAAAAAGATTCTAATTACCTACTAAAAAACGCATCTCAATTAAGATATACAATGGTGTAATTAAACATAATGAAAAATTATTTACTAATTCTGTCTTTTTAAGTTTTGTCAGATTTGGTTTGGAGTTTTAACTTAAAAATAGACATACAATGTCAAAGCAAAATCATTTATCTAGTCACGTGATGACTTTCTTTTACTACTACGAGGTAGAAAACGTCTTTATATAAAATGCAAATGCAAAAAGGAAGAAGTGCAGATGATTAATGACTTCCTAAGAGAGAAAATGCAAAGAATTGACAGATTTTGAACGTCTGCATAGAAAAGGCTGATTAAAATGTTAATTTTATTCAGGAAAGAATTAAAAAATTGATGCCGAGAAGTAAATTGATGGTAATAATCAAAATCTTGTTTACTATAAATCTAACCAAAACTTCTCCATTATTATAGTTATCGCAGTTGTACGAGCTCTGGACCAGACTAATGGGGCAAACTCATTTCATTCTAGTTGGAGCGAGAATAATAATAATGGGCCAAACTGAATTGTAGTATTGGGTGCGTGAAATGCCCTATATATGCAAACGTATCGATTTTATGACTTTAGAACAGCTCTTTATAGGCTAATACCTGTATAACAGAAATATTTCGATAAATAGACATCACTCAAATGATCACGAGAGAATTGTTGGTTGCGGATCCATATTGGGTATAAATAGAATTTGCTAAATTCTACGTCATATAAATATATTGGTTGAATTTATTTTTTTAAGTTATTTGAAAGCTAAGATTTTGATTTAAAATTTTGATTTTCTTCAAGCCTTTAAGACTATTTAGATTTGAAATGAAAATTTTCCTAAGGTTTACCATCAATAATGTTATAAATCTTCAAGAAAAAAGACGAACATCTGTCCTCGTTTTAAGTTTATTATTAAAACTAGTGGGTAGCATGGCATCGTGCCTTAAGGCAAATTGCTGTAACTTCCCGTACCGTAATTAAAAATCTTGGTACGGAACCCAAAAAATTCATCACAACCATTTTGTCTAAAGAATGCCAAAATGTTCAGTAACTTTTGAAACGTAAAGATATATAAAAATTTTCATTTTCGATTTTTTTGCGATTACTAGAACTTACCCTACGGGAAGTTAACTAATGCCATTATTATTACCTAATTTTAATTGAATGTAATTATTAACTCACCTGCCATTAGAAGGAAGAGGAAATCCATCCAATGCCCAAGTAATTTGTGGAGTTGGATTTCCAGTGGCGGTGCATTTTAATGATACTGCCGGTCCTGGTTGTAAAGTTTGTTCTATGAAACTGTATAATAGAACTGGTGGAGCATCTGAAAAAATATAAAATTTTATAAAAATTAATGACAGTCTAAGATAATGGTAAAATAAAATTTAATTTTCAAAAACAAGAAGTAAACGAACATAGTCAACGGAATAAATAACCATACACATTAATTTAATATATTTTAAACTATAGTAGTAATGTATTATTAGACAATCGTTGATTTCCTATTGATTAGATCATTTGTATTTTATTATATTATGAGGGCACATATCAAATTTAAACTGTAGGATATAAAAACAATATATCAGTGTTCATAAGAATTTTTATACGTCTTAAATTAATTAATTTGGTCTTAAGTAAATTATAATTTTAAATGCCTAAATTTGATATTTAAATTCCTTATAACTTAAAATTTGTTGACTTCATTTGAAATTTAAATATAAAATCAATAGTACATGAAATAACACAGAAAATTATCAAAATATTGTCTTTTTGAGATTTTTATTCTTTTTCTCAATAAAATCTCATTTATATTTCCAATGTCTGAATATAGTACGAGGTCTGTTCAAAAAGTTTTCGTAATTTTCGTTTTTTCAAAAAAATATTTATTTATTCGTCTACATTAATGTGGTCCCCTTCAAAGTAGTCCCCCCCAGATATAATACACTTATGCCAGCGTTTTTTCCAATTTTCGAAGCACCCTTGATATTCACTTTTTGATATGTCCTTGAGCACTCTCGGCGATTTTCTTCAATCGAGGAAAACCGCCGTCCTTTCATGGGTCTCTTCAACTTTGGGAATAGGAAAAAGTCACACGGAGCCATATCTGGTGAATTTTTGCACTTTGCAACACTTTATTTCATTTTTTACGCAAAATTTAATACAAATTCTTTGACTTTTTCAATTCTTCCATTGTAAAAATCGCCGAGCTAAGAAAAACACGTCGAACCTTAGCGACTACCACAGACAAAGTAAACAGTGAATATAGCTGAAAATTTCATCATACTTTAGGGGCATGTATACCAACACAATAAAAAAAAAAATTTGACAATCAGACACTCCAGACCCGCGAAATTTAATTATTAGTAATTCCGGGTACTTTTTGAACAGACCATGTATATATATATAAAACATTTAACATAAAATGGAATATTTTATTTGTTGACGTTTTAGTCATATTTAATTACAAATTTATGATGTAAAAAAACGTAAAAAATGATTTCAAATATTTGCTGACTTTTTGAATTAATTTATAAGCACATATAGTATTAAACATAATAAATTAAAAAATGTTTACTTAAAAACGTCCAAATTAAAATTGGATACTCTTCACCATAAAACTAAGTTTTTTTAAGAGTGGCTAAATGAAATAAAATACTTGAATCTATGTTAAAAATATTTTGTAAAAATGTAAATTTGAATTTTGTAATAATGAAATAAAATCACTATGTTCATTACAATACTGAGGTATATGCTTGGAGTACTATCGAGTTAAAATCCTGTTTTCCGTTTTCATCTCTGAAGTTTCTAGATGATTACATCCTTTTGATGAAGAATTTTTAATTAAACGTTTTTTGTTATAGTTTTTCTCTGCTGTCGGTTTTCCATTATACTCTTCTTGATTAAAACTATTTTCCATTTAAATTGTGAATCAGAAAAGCCTTTAGTAACTTTCAGGGAGCGAATCATATTGATGCGAAAATTAAAATTTAATACACAAACACACTCACACATACACACACATACATATATATATATATATATATATATATATATTATTCATATGAGGTTTTAATTAAGTTTATGAATATTATTTCATACTCATATAATTCTCTTCAACAATGGTCGAAATACTGAAAACTATTCTGGTTCACATTAAAAATGCCTTGAATACAAAAAAGTGTGCTCGCCGTCACGGAGCAAGGAATATTTATCGTGTAATATATTTTAGAACAAACTGCAAAAAATTCTGCGCTGCGATGGTTTTTATAAAAAAAATACAATACTTTGCTTTTGTGCAGCAAAATCCCTTGGAGCGTACATTTTGCAAAATATTATGGACAGACTATGCTGCAAATTAGATATTTACATTATGCAGCAATCAAATATACTTTAAATAAATTGTACCATATATATATACACACACACACACACACATATATATATATATATATATATATATATATATATATATATTAGGGTGGTCCTTAATATAGACATTTTCGAATTTCCTTGCTCCCAAGGGCTCAAATGGTTCCAAATTGATAAAAAACAATTCTCTCAAAGTTTTAGCTCTAAATATTATCTTCTAGATAGTGTACGCAATTGAATCAAACTTCGTATGGAAATAGCATAGAAAAAATTTTGAAAATTAAAAAAAAATTTTAGGTATAACTTAGCGAAAAATGAATTAAAAGTGAAAATTCGTGCAATTTTTTATTGAAAATTCAACGCGCTGCAAAATTTAAAAAAAAAATTATGCTATTTTCATACAAAACTTTGATTGAATTGCGCTCTATCTAAAAGACAATATTAGGATCTAAAACTTTCAGAGAATTGTTTTTTATCAGTTTGGAACCGTTTGAGCCCTTGGGAGTAAAGAAATTCAAAAATGTCCATATTGAGGACCACCCTTATATATATATATATATATATATATATATATATGTTGTTTTATTATTATTGTTTTATTAATTCGACATAGTGACCTTTCCATTTCCGTACTAGTAAAACACTTAGGTATTAAATGGGATCATTTCCATTCATGTCATCGTATTGATGTGTTTCCATAATCTAGGGCTATTCTGCCAAAGGCTTGGTAATTAATCAAATTTGAAAATATCCTATAATAATATAGTATAAGCGTTATATCATGTAACACGGAAATTATAAGGCATGTGAAAGACCATCATTGATCTCAGTCAGTTGATGAGGAAACAAGTTTATGAGGGATAACTAGAGAAAATTATATAGAACTAGGATCGTATGAAAATGCAATGATAAAATCAAAAGTTTCCGACAAGAATCTCACTAGATCAGAAGCTGAACAGAGTCTTATTAGAACGGATGCTTTTCTTAAAAACTCGATTTTTATTTTCTGCACTCTTTGCTCCGTATCTCCAAAACGGCTGGACCTGCCTTTGCCAAAAACTAATCAGCACATCTCCTTACCAATAGGAATCGAATTCAAATTCAAATCGATTGATCCGTGCGCCCGAAAACGTGAACAAAAATGCGGATACACAAAACACACTCACGCACACACATATTCATTTTTTCTGAGGTATGCCAAAATGTTCAGAAACCTCTGAACGTGAAGATATGCAAAAGTTTTCATTTTCGATTTTTGTCCGATTACTATAACTTACTCTCGAGGAGTTAATAAAATTAAATCTTATTTTTTATTCAAATATACAATAGCGTATCATCCAATTTATTAAATGCTTTCTTAATAGCAATGTCCATAATGTTAGTTAACATTTCCGGAATTCGAAGTGCTAATTCGAGTCGCAATTCGGATATCGAGTATCAACCCTATAGATTGTTGTGTTTACCCGTAACCGATCACCAACCCTTCGGTACCTCTGGGGGATGTAATTTAGATTGTGCGCAGGTATTATGTATGGAACTATCGAGATAATGCAAGCACGCTCTATTATAATATTAATGGTTCTGATGATACAGTTTAGTTAAAATTATGGCCCACAAAGATGGAAAAATAGATTACTTGATAAGTAGTAATAGATTTATAATCCCAAATTTTATGTTTTAGAGAGATAATTTATGAATCGGTTGACACAAGAATTGGAAATGTGTCCGAACTAAAGCATTTGTTAAACTCTACGGAATTAATGTTTTTGAAAATTTTAGTTTCAATTTACCTCCAAGTTGTAATTCTGCAGAAGCTTGAGCAGTATCGCCGTCTTGCCTTCGAACGACACACTGGTACATGCCTCTGTCTTCGCGACCAACAGAAGGCACCAGCAAGGTCTGACCAGTGTGACCAGACCCTGGTAGTTGTCTGCCATCCTGAAAATAAAAATTATATTTTAAATATCGACTCTTAAAAAATCAGCACTTAAAATATATTAATTGCATAAATAAATTTGTGTTATTTTCTATAACACCTTCATGTCAAGTTTATCGTGTATAAAAATAGAATATGGAAATAATTACTAAAATTCTAGCGTTTTGCTGTTTCTTCAATCCATAAACCGCTAAAAATGTGGTGCGACATTGAACGTGTTTTTCTCAAGTTATGCTAATGTAACTTCTTTTAAAATATCGCAAGAGTGTTGTTATATTGTTCCCAAACGACCGCGGATGTCACGAAACATTTATGAAAATCAGAAATAATATTTTTTTATTCATGTCATATTTTTTACTTATTATGTATTATTTGTTCAAAAATGAATAAATAAAATAAGAAAAATTTTTTTTACATACACTCTACATACAATTCATATTAAAGTCAATTTAAATTCTTCTGCCCTATGATGAAAAAAATTGACTACTAGATACTTTAGAGTTAAACTCTGCTTATATGTATATTTTATTTTATTTCAATAGCAATCAGAATACAACATCCTATGAGCTATTTAGATCAATTCATTTACTCACATACATACACTTCCATTTATAGACACATATATGAAGTTATTGTATTAAATTTAAGTCAATAGTCAATAGTAACTTCAATAACTGATTCACCACATCTTTGGATAAAAGAGCTGGACATTGGTGATAAAGTTAAATACCTTGAATATTGTCTTTTGGAATATTCTACTTCAGCTTTCTTAAAACTGGAGACTCAAAAAATTGAGCGACTTTAAAATAAGTATGATTTTCTAGGTTTAGGAAATGTTGAATACTGCTTCACTTCATTACGATATTTACAAATTATAATACTCCGTTTATATGGAAATGTTATTAGTTCGACTAAATTTAATTTGTCCACTTGTCCACGCAAAGTTTCATAGCTAAAGACGTAGCTTATAACGGGATATTTCAAAACTAATCATATATTAACTACTATATTAATTTTAACTAATAACTAGTGGTGCATGGCATCGCGCCATAAGGCAAATTGCTGAAATTTCCCGTACCTTAATGAAATATTAGAAGAATATTAAATGCTTACAAAGAGATTATTATAAATGGACGCTGACTATTATATATGTTACAAGAAGAGTAAGAATCAAAACTTGATCAAGCGGAGTTAGAATGAAAGTTTTCTCTCATATTATAGAGAATTATATATCTTGAATTGCAAAGTTAAAATTATTCATTTTAAGTATAGTGTGAGCTTCAAAATTTTAGCTAAAATTGAAATTAAAATCCAAAATATTTCCTATATCCAAAAAAGGAGAATAAAAGGAAATATGTATAGAAACTAATCGTACCTTTACAAGCAAAATGTTCTCTCTAAAAACTGCCATTTTTTACACTTTTAACTTTTATAAGGTTCATTCACACATACATACATGCATACACAAATCCATTTTTTCTAAGGTATGCCAAAATGTTCAGAAACCTCTGAAACGTAAAGATATGCAAAAAAAATAATTTCGATTTTTGATCGATTACTATAAGTTACCCTACGGAAAGTTAACAAAATCTATCAAGTATACAATTTTTAAACCATGGTATTGAACGGCTCAGAAGAAAACTTTTCGATATTCTTTAGTAATCCTATAATATGTATAATTTCTAGTAGGCTGAATTAAATATTTTCACAACAGGACTACATCTAAAAGCTAAACATATCCAACATAGAATCGATCACCAATGGGTGACCTTTCGACCTTTTTCTTTTATTTAATATACCATCAAAATTACTGAATGTTGTATAAGAACAACAGATTGTAATTCGCAAATGTAAATAAAAAAGTATACAATTTACCCCTTACCTTGTACCACGTGATGAACTGCGGCCCGACCTGATTGCCCTGCGAGGTAACGATGCACCTAAATTCGGCGGCGCCGCCCATGTGAACGCTCAACATCGCCGGCGATACTTCAACATTGAGTGGAGTAGTAACTGACAGTCTGAAATTCGTGACAACACAATTAATTAATTCGAGTACGAAGTGTGTATATGTGTGTTTGTGTGCACAAACGACAAGCTGAAGGCTGAAGGCAGCTCATCCGAAATGCGATCTATGGAAATGCCATTAACGCAATTGACGAACGGTTGTAATTTCATACACGAAAGGTGGTTTTTAATTAGAAAATATTATTAAATGAAAAGATCACAGTTGTTTGAGGAGTAGAAGTTGGATAAGGTGGAAATATTTATTTTACCTGAGTTCGGCACTGGCTTCTCCGCCCGCGTTTACGGCAGTGCAGCGGTATTGGCCTGCATCGTCCGGCGTCACGGCTTCTACTGCCAAAACAGGGCCCAGTAACCTTATTCTTGGACCCGCCAGAACCAGCAAAGGTTCCGGCCCTGATTGCGAATACCATCTGGAATAAAAAATAACATATAAATATATGATACAATAATAGTAATAAAAATGCAAATGTAAATGAAACTAGTCGTAAGTAGTATTTTGCCTTGAGGCAAGTTGCATAAATTTTCCGATATAAATTAATCATTGAGAATCGACATACTGCTATTTAGATAAAAAGCTCAACTGTTTATTTCATAAATAGAGCTACAGCTAAAGATTTTTTTTTCCATTTCAAAAACATATATTTCAATAAATGTATATATCAACATTTCATTGAGCTTTATCTGGATATTTACTCGTAGGTATAGTATCCGTCATATCTACTCTAGTAAAACATTAATAAGTATTTAGAATATAAAATATTTATATTATATAATATATTTAGAATATATAATTGTGTGACAAAAAAGAAGGAAAGGAAAATGTTTCCCAAAAAAATCAGATAACAATATTTACTAAAGAATGATTAACACAATTATCAATATAGGTATTTTAAGCTTACTTATAATATCTGTATTTGTATAAATTTATGAACATGTTTACCATATTTCATTTAATCTATTCCATGATCTAAGAATGTATTTTACTTAAGTGTGAATGTCAACTGTAATCAGTAGCTACCTACAAAACACTTGCAATTCTGATTAGAATTGCATAAGAGCATATGGTAAAATTTCGACAATTTTTTATAATTCAATCGCATATCGTAGGCCTATAATACTTTAGTATACTATTTCAAACTTCTATATTTATTGTTTCATCAAAATCGTCAAACTTTTTCGATAGATTTTTCAAGACCGATCTTTACCAAAAATATTCAACGCGATTCTCAATCAATATCTTTCAGAAAGTTTTTGAATTTTTGAAATCGATTCAAGATCGTGAACTAAAACGTGGATAATTTATTTCACTTTTCTGCAAATTACAAAAAAATGGCTTGGCTGATTGATGCACAAAACTGTCAAACGTTAGTCCTTATGGAACTCCATCAAATGCTTATTTAGGATAAATAAATATATATTTAGTAGTGTAAAGATATCAACATTCAATATAACAAAAGTATACATTAGAAATTATTTCAAAAGATATGATGTTAAGAAATGATATTACGAAATGTGACTATTTGCTATGCAAATGAATAATATTCTAAGTATGTTTTTATATACATGTAAGATTTTGTCAATAGCTTTTTTGTTTCATCATAATAAGTGTGTGTTTATACTATTACTTACATGTAAAATAGTTCAATAACGAATTGAACGATTTTATAATGAATAAGTTACTAAATGACTTTTAAAATTTTGAAATCGGTCTAGGCTTTTTTACACACACACATATTTTTCTCATATTTGATCACATTTCATTAAAAATGACTTGAGACATCGAGAAGAGGTAAAATCAGTAAATCATTTTTTATGCAAACTTTTGCTTCGGCAAGTTAAAAATCAACGTATTTTTATAAAGCAGTTCAAGATTTATTTGAAAACATGTACGAAATATTCTGCTTATCTAGAGTTACAAAGAAAATTTTTACTCCAAAGAGCAAATCTTCTAAAAATCTTCATTTTCAAGCATAATCGAGACCACAGTTCAGCAAAATGCAATAACCACTCTTAATCATGAATTATATTTATTAACATATAAAATAGAACAGGTAAGTTTTATAATAAAAGTGAAGATACTTTTACAAATGTATACTCGTATATACATAAGCACATTCAATATACCTACGTGAATTTACAGATGTTTGAAATAATTAACCTATAATATAGTGAGTTTTCATGCATATAAAATTCTCAAAACTTAAAGTGAATCCGCATTATAAAAACTTTTCCTGTGACAGCCCGACCGTCGAATTAAAATTTATGAAGACTCGCGGTTACATCGTAAAGATGTCCCTATTAAATTTTAATTCTCATGTAACCGTCGGTAAGCTAATAATGCTTTTCCCCCGAGCCTAGGATATCACAAAATGTCCCCAAACCATCCCCAACAGCAACAACCCTTGAGAAAAGTCCCAGTCCCGGTTGAATAATTAACACCCACGTAGGGTAATAAAAAGCGGAAAGAAAATATAAGAAAGATGAAGAAAATATGCTCGCGGCCCGTTGGGAAAACTTAGAGATTTAAAAATGAAAAACACATCAAATTTTCCGTAATGCAGAAACACAGCGGAGGATTCTAAGATGCGAAATTAAATATAACGTCTTTCAAAAGGTTTTGTTTTGTATTGTTGCAGTTGTCTTTTGTGTTGTACTTTTGAGCTTAATTTAATTGCATGTGAAATTCTTACCGGGGTAATTGTTGAAGTTTTGAACAAACATAAGGAAAATTGCTTTTCTCTAGATGTAGAAAAGAAATTTGTAATTAATTTATATATTTTGCAATGCAGGAAGCTTAATTGAAGTACGTTGCTTGAATGCAATAAATAGTAAAATATCAAAGTATAAAAAGTTGAGTTTCTTGTTCAGGAAAAAAATGTTTTTTAACAAATCTATTTCATAATGAAAATTTTTACTATTTAACACATATTAAACAAACAAATGTGGTCAGTAAAAATCCAACATTGTAAAAATATGTTTTGCAATTTTTCTAAAATTTGGTATCTGGTCTTTTTTACCCCATAGACGCGGTGAAAAGGAATCCGGAACGTAAAAATATCTACTATTTTATTTTGAAGCAGTTTTATAGAACAATAGCAGTATTAATTAACCAATGAGATGCAGATTAATTATTAAATTGGACAACAATCTTGAAAATCATAATCTAAATATGTAATTTTTAACATAACATAAATCTTACTTGGTATTAAATATGTGTATATTTACATAACATTGTGCATTATTTTATAGCAAGCTAAATATCAGTTTCGTATTTATGAAATTAAAATACTATAAAAATTAAGAAAGCTTAATTTTTTTTTGAACAGGGGTGCAAAAAGTTTGGAAATCATTGCTTTAAACTAAGATATCAGATTTTATCATTAGAATTTTAATGGCTAAGTTGATAAACTATACGTATAAAAGAGTTATGATTATGATAAAATTTTAAAAATTCTAGGAAAGAGGAATTGTTGAGCTATTTTTCATACCAATAAGAGCTTTACTTTTAATTTTAAAAAATACCATTATATGAGACAATCATACCATTAGTAACACATTTAAGATTTTGTAAATATATAAATTTATCAGTTGTTCTAATCAATATATCTAGAATTCACAAGGTCGATATAGGGTTGGGTGAGGTACAAAGGTCCAATTTGACTTTCAGTCATTATACTGCCCAAACCAAATAATCACACGTATCAAACAAACAATTATCAAACTATGTTTAGCAAAATTCCTGTTAGTTTTCAATTATAGAAATATGTCTCTATAATTTTTTTTATTTTTTTTTTAAATTTGTTGTCTGTCTGTTTTATGCCATAAGAAGGGTAAAAAGGGGCAGCCAATAGGCAAACAGATACAAAGTCTTTTCATTGAATTTTACGAAATAATAGCTGCAATATTCAACCAATGGAAAATTAAAATTTTATGGACACATTATTACAAAGACTACATTTAAAAATCATAGTCTGCACTCTGCAGTTCAATTAACTTATAAATTAATAATTATCACAAAATAATTATCACCAGAGTTGGAATAACTATCAATTTATCTCTTGAAAAATTTCTTTTTTTAACCTAATTTTATTATACCTTTGCCAGAGTAAAGGTTCAGTTGGTCCTTTTAACCCCTTCCATATATGAGCTATTATAAATGTTATATAAAAACATCTGTTGAATATTTATAAAACCATATTTAACTAGTTGGTATTAGTTGGTATTAGTATTTTGCCTTGAGGCAAGTTACATAAATTTCCAGATAAATGCCAGATAAATCCAGATAAATTCCAGTGTAAAATTTTGAGAAAACGTCGATTTACGACAAAAATCTGTTCACACACATACACATACACACAAACACATACTTTTTCCAAATTTTGTCTCATTCGATTCAGAATGGCTTGAAACGTCGAGAAAACGCAAAATTAGGGAATCGTTTTTTTATGAAAACAAACTTTACCTTCGGGAAGTTAAAAATTATATCAAACTAAACAATAGTGCTCACTACCAAAAAATCTAGCAATCAAAAAAAATACTTTTGGCATAGATTTTCAAACATGGCGGTTTATCTCCTGATAGCGACATTGCTTGATTTGATGCCTGATTACACATCTTTTTCAAATATTGTTGTTAGAAAATTTTTAAGTTTACTTGTTTTTTAAGAATTGATGGTGCACCTTTTTATCTGCAGACCTCTACCCTAACATGAGAATTATCATATGAATCAGGTTTTTGAATTTTTTTTGTCGGGTTATATTTCATGCCAATGCGATTTTTGCTTTACATGTATTTCTAAAATTTTTGAATAATGATCTAATCAACTGTATCTCTCTACAATACATGGGATGAGTATCTAACTATATCTTTCAAAATGCATCTAATCAGAGTGACATGGTAAGTTCGTTGGCTCTGATATCAGCCGCCTGGTTTGACATGACTCAACTGGAGGAGACGTTCATGTCGTTTCCGTCGGTGATTGCCAGGCAGGAAATTACAATTCGCCCATTCTCTCCCGACGAACAATCCTAGGATAATGGCTAGGTATCACATTGCTAGTTCTATATTAGACGGATTGTGTTACTAGTTTTAAAAAATTTCATACTTTTTTAATTAAATGACTATTGCTGATGTAATGGGCGTCAGTGACTAAGTCAACAAGATGAATTCTTGATGTTTTAAACTTTTAATTTTAGTTAGAGCGAGGCTTAAAGATCCGCGGATAAAAAGGTCACCAACCGATATCTCAAAAACCAGTAAAGCTAAGAATTTTTCAACAGCAATATTTGGAAGTAGAAGAAAAAAAGATGTATAACCAGACTTTACCTTAACTTTTACGACGTTTCCATATAGAAGAATAACTGCAATGTTTAAACATCTATAACAAAATTTTCTTTCGTTGTTATTTGTT